AGAGAAAATAGAGAAAAATAAAGGAAGAGCAAACAAGCATCTAGATGCATTTTACAGTCGTTCTAACTGTCTAGGGTTGGACATTAACATACACATTTCTGCTTCCTACTACTTTACTGTTGCTATATGGCTAATACTTACAGTTGATACCAGACTCTAAAAGGTAATACCTGTGCTTACTTCAATCACATTTACTTATTTCTCATTGTCCTGTTCATTTAACTCATGGACTGTGGCTCAGGTGGTAGAGTGGGCCAGTCAATAATGGGAAGGTTGGCGGTTTGACTCCGCCCTGTGCCATGGTTGTTGTGACCTTGGACACTTCACCACCTTGCCTGGTGTGAATGTGTAGCTTACCACTAGTGGGATGAATGTGTGTGAATGAATAATTGACAGTGTAAAGCGACTTTGAGTGTCTAGAAAAGTGCTACATAAATCTGATCTATTATTATTTAAGTTTCTAACACAACTTTACATGCACTGCACTCTGACAAAAAGATCAAATTCATTGTACTTGCTATTTTTAAGTTCACAAAATTAAGTAAATACAGCTAAATTTTAAGTAAACCTTACAAGTAGATATGAAGTAAACTGCACTGAAGACTAATGGTTATATTTACTCACCTTTTTTGAGTGCAACCGGTTGCCTCGATCCGTTTAAGTAAGATCAACTTTTCGCATTTTACAGTGCAGAAGTTTACATCCACTGTCTTTTTATACAGAGGATGTAAACTTCTGGTTGTAACTCTATATTGGCCTACAAAAACAACCATTTAAACCAAACAGATAAGATAAGATAAGATAAGATAAGACTTACAAAACTGATCCTGAAGGAAAACAAAATGACACAACATGAAAAAATGTGGTGCCTAGTCAAAAAATATTATAACAAAAGTACAGAATACAGAATAATTTAGTTAAAATAAGACTAGAAAATCAATATTTTCTAGACATACAAGGATCTGTGCAGCATCAAAACTTCTCCAGGAACTCTATTCAATATCAATATATCACTATTTTCTATACAGGTAAGTCTTTAATTTTATTTCTTCTAAATATCTGCAATATCAATACTTTCTACACACAGAAGAATCTGTGCAACATTCATTTTTATTTTATTTTTGTTTTGTATTGGTATTGGTGTTGTTGAACTCTCCACTACAGTGCTGCTGTAACTCTGCACATCTCTCCACTGTGAGAATAATAAAGGACCATCTGGTGTCATCATTTTACTAACTTTGTCATTAAACATTTCATTGTTATCCAAGTTTCTTAGGTGTGTTTTTATGTCTTTTATTTTTAATCCTAGAGGAACCTTTAACAGCTCAGTTCAGAGTAACATCACTAACAATTAAAAACAAACTATGGAATTCCTGCAGGTTATAGTTTTTTGGGGGTTTTTTGCCTTAAACTTGAGCTGTTTTGAACAATATCAGATATAATAGAAGTTTTAGAGACTGGTCTTATGTTTGACAGACTTGTGTGTGAATGACTGGCGTCACTAATGCAAAGGTCCTCATTTGCTTAAATGTAAATGTCTTATGTTTGGGGGGAAGAAAACAAATTTAAAAACCACTAATAAAATAATGCAGGTCATCTTGAAATGTCTTCAGGAACCTGAAAGAGATGTTTAGTTTTCTACATATAGAAGAATATCCCTGCACAATATTGTTATTTTCTACATTTAGAAGAATCTGTTGAACACTTATATTGACTACACATGGAGCTATCTGTGCTGTATTAAAGAACTATGAATACTAACATCAATACCTCCATGTGTAGAACATGTTGATGCTGCTTCTGTTTATACAAAATATTGATATATTGCCCTTACACAGGGAACTATTTTTATCTCAATGCTCTACTATTAGGCTTCGCAACATCAAAAAGAATCTGTACAATATCAATATTGTCTAAGCAGGAAAGAATCTATGGTATAGAGATATTTTTCTAAATATACAAGAAATCTGTACAATATCAATATCTTGCTTTGTACTGAAGCTCCTAGAAGTAATAATAATAATAATAATAATAATAATAATAATAATAGTAATAATTGTGAGGAACTCCAAAAGGTCCCTCAAAGTTCTTCTTCTTGTAGGACTGTACGGCTCTAAGGCAGCTACTATGACTTCTTACATTTTATTATCATTAACTAACACAGGGCTTAACAACTTTAATCGACCACCTGTCTAATTTGTTAAACACTCTCTCTATATATCGACCATCCAGCATCATAAAGTGCTTTAATTCGCTCTCAGCTCTCCATGTTTTACCATTTTGAACAGGAATGAGGAATTTCAAACTGGATTCACCTTTTTATACCCAAATCTGAGCCACTGGGCTTCTCTGGGAAGTCAGAAATTATTCATTTAAACACTAAAAAATAATTATTCTGTTCAAAAATGCAAGTAAATGACTATAATTTGACATCTTAATCAAGAAATAATAATGTCTTTCACGATTTTTTTCATGTAAAACAGTAAATTTGAAACTTCATGGATAATAATAATATTATTTCAGCATTAAAAACACACAGAGCGTCTCCTTGCTGGTGTATTAACCACAACAGAAACATTAATAAAGTGACCAGTGCTGTTATTTTAGGGCAGCTGTGGCACAACCTTCACACTGGGTGGTGGTCTGATTGATTTGTTGGGCTCTGTGCGTGTTTAGTGCTATTTAAAGTTGTTTTCCATCCTCCTCTTCCTCCTCTTCATCGCCGCTCTGTCTCTTTAACGCTCACCAGGGGGCAGCTCAGCTCTGCGCATGCGCCCTGTGCATAGCAACTCTTTGGGGCAACAGAGGAGGCAGCGGGCGGATCGTCGATGCGCATTTTGGGGACGAAAAGAGGTAAGAAGGAGCGTTAAAGTCACCGTTTACCGGCAAGAACGGGTCGGACGCGGAGTAGAAACCCGGTAATGTTCACCGGAGGTCCCCCTGGTCGACCTCTCGGTGCGGACGTCCCGCCGTTTGAATCCCGTTAAACCGCATCCGGAGCCGGAGACGCACCGATCCTACAAATCACCGGCGGCTGTCATCAGCGCGGAGCCGCTAACCGACGCGTACCGGAGGGAGAGCCGGCCTCTGTGGAGCCCGGGTAGCGGCCCCGGGGCCCTGTGGTCGCTGTACCGGGGCGGCGGCGGCGCTTTGTTTGGGATGTTTCCGCCGCCGCCGCTCGTCTATTTTGAGCAGCGGATTCCGGTCCATGTGTGAGTGACCAGCCGCCGCCATTGGTCACCGTCGGTCCGGGCAGAGATGAGTCGGTTAAAGCCGAACAACAGCCTCCTGGATCGCACACACTCATCTGTTCTGTGGTGGTTTTAATCTGTTGTTGACTCGTGGAGGCTCCAGGAAGCTTTATTTAATGCGTGAAATCTTTAAAAAACAAAATCAAAACTGGATGTCAGGATTCTAACATACTGATGTGTTGGAGAGAGTTTAAATCTGACAGTGTGAGAGTTGAGAATCACACTCTGACATACTTTGGTGTCCTATTTTACACTTTATCTTACTAATTATATGACATATGTGGATTTATTTGGGTGACAGCTGTTTATTTGAGGTAAAAAAGTTCACCTACACACTGATTTTAATATTGAAAAGTGTGTTAATTTATCAAACTACATCAAATATGGTGGAAAAAGTGTGTTTTGTATTGTGTCTGGGCGACCTGTTGCCGTATGTTAATGACTATAGAGGTCATAATTTATTATACATCCTGTGATAACGTCACTGCTGCTGTAAAATGGCCAAAAAACAAGTTAATATGACAGATAAAGTAAATAAATCAGACTTTAGCAGCAAAATAATGTCCAGCTGCTCAGGATTCAACTGATTTAGATCCTGTCTCCTTGTTGGGGTCATTTATAACCATAAAAAACAAATTAAATTCCAGTTTTGTTGTAATCTCATATGAATCCTGCTGCAGGTGTTTAATTAACTCAGAGGAAATAGTCTTAAAGAGCTGGAAGCAACACATTAAACTTAACTCCTGGCTGATTCTGTCTCCATGTTGGGAATATTTTTTATAATTTTAAGTAATAAATGAAGTTGTGCTGCTGTTTTGAAGTAACCTCACGTGGATCCTGCTGCAGGTATTTAATTAATTTAGAAGAAATAGTCTGAAAAAGCTGGAAAAGACGAATTAAACTCCAGCTGCTGGTTGATCCAGTCTCCATGTTGGGAATATTTTTTCTAATTTTAAGTTATAAATTACATTTTCCTACTGTTGTGAGGTTTCCTCGTGTGGATCCTGCTGCAGGTATTTAATATACTCAGAGGAAAGAGTCCTACAAACAGATGGAAGCAACAAGTCAGCTTCAGTTCCTGTTGATATGATCGTTTATTCACTGAAAATCCATGTTTCAGTGAATGAACTTGACCCTTCACTTCTGGTTTGGACACAGAAAAAAAGGGGATGTGATGTCAACACACAGCTCTGCATCGTCTCATTTTCCTGTAAAGGAGTTTCACACGAGGCCAGAACTTTCACAACTGATCCGACTAATCGCAGTTACCCTCAGTCATGTGACGGCGGTCTGTAGTCATTACATCCTGTACGGTCTCTCACAGGGTCGTGTTTGTTGTGTCGGATTTAAAGGAGTATTTACAGCAGCTGCTTATCTTAAGCGGTTGTTGAACGGGGAGTTTTGGTTAATTATCATCTGACTTGTATCAGCAGGTTCAAAGCTAATGTGTGTTTGGTTTCCCTACAGATAAGTCACCCCGAACAGACTCGCAGGAATCATGGGGAGTGGTGAGTTCATGGACACTCAGTTTTACACAAACTTCATCAGAAACTCTTATCTGACTCCTTGCTTTTCTGTCAAGTCGTCTTTGACACTCTGGAATGTGACTCTTTAGGTTTCAACAATTCCTATTCTTTCCTGTTTCTCCAGCATTTTCCCTGCCTTTAAATTCTGCTGCCGATCACGTCCCTGACTCTATAAATCACAGTTAACTCACATCAAACATTCCTCCGACATGTTGTGGCATCTTGTCTGTCGGAGAGTTTGTGTTGATGTCGTGGACGTGTGAAACAGAGCTCCGTCTGTCCAAGTCCATTCTCCCAGTTTCTCTTATGCGGCCCAGGGACGGATGCCTAAATCAAAGGAGCTTTTGTTTTTATGCAGAAATGTGGGCACTGAGCAGCGCTCGGCTCTGCTCTGCTGCCTTTGTTTCGGTCCCCACCTCGCTCCCTCGCTCTTTTCTGGCTTCTCTCAGCATCTCTGTCCTTCTAGCTTCACTTTCAATACACTTGCTCATTGCTTAATTCCTCCCCTCGTTGCTGTTCGGCTCATTCCTACTTTCCCGTCTCATTTTCTTGTCTCTGCTTGTTACCTTGATTCATGCATGTTTTTTTTTTCCCCGTCAGGCTGTGTCCAAAATCATTCAATCAGTCGCTGCTCCCTGTTGAAACTTACTAAAGAAAACACCTTTTTTTCTTTGTTTGTGCTGCGATTCATCGCTCTGCTTCCATTAAACATGTCAATACGGATTATTATTTTTCATTTTAATGTTTTTGGGCCATAATTCATGGATTTGTCTCGTGCCTGTTGTCATTTCGGTAAACTACACATATAGAAGAGGTATACTATGTAGATATATTAGATAAAATACGTCTCAACACTATAGAGTACTTCTTAACGCTATAAAATCTGACTTTTAACAATATAAAATACGTCCTAATGCGATAAAACACACCTCAACACTACAAAAATACGCATTTTAATACTATAAAATATGGAGTAGCACTATGAAATACACATTTTAACACTACAAAATACGTATTTCAACACTATAAAATACTTCTCAACGCTATAAAATACGACTTTAACATTATAAACTATGTATTAACCGTAAAAAACACGTCTTAAAACTATAAAGTACATCTATTAGCACTATAAAATGTGTCTTTTAACACTAGAAAATACACCTTGACGCTAAAAAATACGACTTAATACTATAAAATACATTTTAACATTATGAAATTTGTCTTTTAATACTACAAAACATGTTTTAACACTACAAAAGATGTCTTTCAACACTTTAAAATACTTCTCAACACTAGAAAATACGACTTAACACTATAAATTATGTATTAACCCTAAAAATACGTCTTTAATCTATAAAATATGTCTTTACATTACAAAATACGCCTTTTACACTGTAAAATGTGTATTAACACTATAAAATACTTCTATTAACACTATAAAATGTGTCTTTTAACCCTAGGAAATACATCTTAATGCTAAAAAATACGACTTCAGACTATAAAATATCTCTTTTAATACTATAAAATACGTCCTAATGCCTTGAAATACATCTTACTATTACAAAACACTATTCATTATGTATTAACCCTAAAAAATACATCTTAACACTACAAAATACGTCTTTTAACGCCATGAAATGCAACTTAAAAGTATAAAATACATCTTAACTCTGTAGTTTTAACGCTTAAAATATGACTTAACTCTAGAAAATACGTATAAACACCACAGAATCTGTATAAATCCACCAATCCTTAATCATCCGTCTGTCATTCTTCTTTGATGCAATGCATGATGGTCCTTTTTCTTTGTTCCTGGGATACTTTGAGGGACTATATATGGTGTAATAACTCTAATTCAACAAAACGTCAAACCCACTATGCAGTGAGCAGTGTCTGATTTGGGACTCAGCTCCAGTCTTACGTTCCTTCCCTCGTCTTGGCCTCCCAGTGTTCCTGCCGGCGGACGCGGCCCACTCGGTGCTGCGACGGCTGCGCAGGGCCAACTTCCTCCTGGAGGAGATGAAGCAGGGCAACATCCAGAGGGAGTGCCGCGAGGAGATCTGCACCTACGAGGAGGCCCGGGAAGCTTTCGAGAACGAGGAGAAGACGGTGAGGAGATTCAGTGACGCACCACATCCAGCTCCTGCTCTCCTGGAGGTTATACACACTGGAACAGAAAAGTAGACCACGATAAAACGCCTGACAGGAACCAGTATGAACCACATAGTCTGGCTGCAGCTCGTTATCACAGTCGTCCTGGGCAGGGATGCTGTGACGGTGGCCTTTAATGTCTCATTTCCATATAGGCTGCATTCCAACATCCCTTCTTACATACTGTAGAGAAAGATTTGTATGCCCCAATAGATACTATGTCAAATGTAGTACCCCAAAGCTACCAGGATGTCCTCCAACATCCACGCTTTTCTGGCCGTTCTTACCCACAATCCTCTGCACAGTTCTGTCAAGTGTTTGAAAGACAAGTCAACATTAGGATGGATACTCAGGAACTCAATATTACAACAGAAAGCCAATAAAAAAAAGCCCAGATTAGCAAAAAATGAAGAAATAGATTTAAATACAGCAAAAGATACGGACGCAAAATGCAGAATTTTAACATAAACAAATCCATACGACAAACACCAGTAGTTGTAAAGCTCTAAAACCTGACTGGTGACACACCACGGGGCTGAAAGTTGAGCTGAAACCACTTTTTCTTAAACTTCTGATTAAAAAATAGGTTTAGAAATTGGCCTAAAATTGTACAGAACTAAAGGATCTTGGTTGAAGAGAGATGGAACCACAGCGTGTTTAAAAGAAGATGGAAAAATACCATTGGTAGGGAGCTGCTGGTGATCGGTGAAACGTTGAACCCAACCGTGTCAGTAACCTCTCTAATGACCTTTATGGAGCGGATAAACAAAAAATATTCCTGTTAGCTCCCACACAGCCTGCTACTGGCCCTGTCTCACTTCAACTTGTCCTGTGGCGCCGATCCAGATTGTTTTCTCCTGACTACATCCTTGCTCTCAGAAGCGTCTGCTAAATGAAACTGTAGGATACTGAGGCTGCGAGTGGTTGATTTAATGTGCAAAAGGACTTGAATGCAACTGTGTGTCTAAATAGTGAAGGAGGGAAACAGTTCATCAAAACTTTATCATTCCAGCGGCTAATTGTCTGCAAAAGAAAACACCACAAAACCCTGTAAAGGATGTCTGTCAGCTTTTACCTAATCGAACAGGTGAAGTCTGAACTTCACTCTGGAGGAGCTCTATGTGGCTCGTGCAGAACTTGTGGATGTTTGCAGGATCCGTCCTTCAGTAGCAGCAAATATTTCAGGATGTATACAATAAAAATAGAGACCGGCAGCTGTTTTCTTGTCTGGATCTTGTCTGGGTTTCCCTACAGCTACTCCTCTGACTGCAGGGTTTCCACCTGGTCTTTCATTATTGCGACCAAAACCAGAGCTTTTTTCACATCATCTGTCTTTGTCTACCTTCTCTAGCTGACTGCAGACAATTGGCCATGCTTAGAAAACAAAAACATGCATCTCTGTTAGACAGTAAATGTGGTAAAAATGTTCTTTGTAAGTCTTTACAGCTAATCACTGAAAGAATCCAACAGGGCAGCTGAAATGCACAAGTCAAATCTTCAGCAAAACTTGTGATTTCCAGCGTGCAGGCTGCTGCTGCTGCTGCTCTGAAGTTTTTGTTGTTGTTAAAAACTGTAGCCTGTAGAAAGAAGGAGAAAGCAGCCAGAAATGAGCTGCCGGTTACAGGCTGATACCTGCAGCCTCCATCTGGTGAGTCAGACTGTAAGCCACCTAACAGGGACGGGCGTGTTTTTATTTAATATGACAGTCAGTTGAGTTAGTCAGCAGTTGTAATATCTGCACAGGGATGTTAGCTCAGGCAGGGACTAATGCGTTCAGACGTTTCTTGGCCGGCCTGCGACCGGTTCACCGCAGCTCACGGAGTCGGTAGATGAAACAATTCACAGCAGCTACGCCTACAATTACCCACAGAGTAGAACAGAAACTCTGTCATCTGCTGCTTTAATATCCCGATTAATTCTTTATTTTGAGCAGCAGATGGCCGGCTGCCTGGAAACCTCCGAAAAACACACGACCCAGATCTGGAGCTAAAAAATCCACAAATCAATACTCCCGAGTAGCTCGCAGAAGCAGAAGAGGTGATGTGCTGCCGGGTTCGTGTGTCCGGCGGTGAAACTCTAACTCTGGAGTGGTCGCTCGTGGAATGTGGGTGTTTTTTCAGGAAGTGATTATTATCAGCAGGAAGAACAGCCCAGTGCTCACGAGAGAGGGAGGCGTATTTGGAAAACCATTGTGAGAGGCCAGAGAGCAAAGTCACGCAGACGGACGCGCACAATCATGTGCTTCTCTTGTGTTTGGCTGTTGTCGTCCGCTGCCTTTGTGTCGCCGTAATCCAGATAAAAAAAGTATTTATACAGCGGACAGTTGGCCTGCTGTGACCTTCAGTTTTTATTCATGAGATATGTAACGTTGCTGCTTCATCAGTCGAATAAAGTGACTCCGTGAAGGTTTTAAACTCACCACAGTGACAGAAGGAGACACACGGGACCATATTTGTCTTTCACATTTGATTGGACAAAGTGCATAAAACATAATAATGTACTAATAAACAAAAGATTAAATCTAAACTGCCCAAATAACTGGTTCATTTATGATTTCTTCAGCACTGATAAACGATCATCTGAACTACGACTTTAACAACAGCAAAATAAAAATAAGACATAAAGCACACGATGTGAGCTGCTGTTAGATCCCGACTCATCCTGTCTCCATGTCAGGAATAATTTATAACTAATTAAAACAAATATTGTGTTTTAACTCTAACAGACGCTTGGCAGCGTTACCAATCACTAATCAATAACACAAATAGAGGTGCTGTGATGCTAACAGTGTGTGTGTGTGTGTGTGCTTATTAACCTCATCAGCACTGGTCGGACGTCATCAAGTGCCACAGGAGACTTCGTCATGGTGGTCTTTTACGAGCTAAACTCCCATAATGCTCTCTGCTGGTCAGCTCAGAGATCCAGTGACCGCCTCATTCATTCATTCAGTCTTTATTTCAAACATATATAAAAAAAAAATAAAAAATAGAGAGAAAGAAAAGAAAACAACAATATATATACAAATAAAAAATAATATTAAATATTAAGACTTCATGGTGTGACAGGCACAATACATCTATACCCATATCTATACATACACATATATAAATTCTGTTGCCACTCCATGAATAGTTGAATCTAAAGGAGAGAAAACGTTCTCTCCAAAAGTGTTTGACTAAATAAATCATGTGTCCGAAAGGCAGCAGGAGGAAGCCAAAGCTTGTCTCCTGTAGTCAATCCAGTAATAAACAGAAAGAGTGCACCTACCAGGTCCTACAGCCAGCCTGAAATACATTGTCTTACCTGCATGTCCTTCACCTTCTGCCGTGCTGATTTGTTAAATTATTAATGCAAATAAATCGCTTCAGAGACGCTCACGTGGATCCTGCTGCTGTTTGTTGCTGCAGGTATTTAATGAACTCAGAGGAAAGACTGGTCTTGTCCAAAAAAGTGATCTGAGCTGTTTCTCTCTGTTGTCATATCTTTATTTTCAAAGACAGTTCAGCCTTTAATAGATGTGAAATTATAGAGAAAAGTGAGTGAGACGGGTGTTGTGATGTTTCAGGGCCAATACTGGTGCTGAAATGTGGATAAATTCTCCCCGAGTCACTTCTCAGAGTGCTGCTGCTTGTGCCTGTGTGTCCACTAATGTGACTGTATGCAGATTAGACTGGTGCCCTGCTGAAAGTTATATGGAAATGTGGCCTGATCTGACCTTGTAAGATTGTGACTTTTACAGAGAAGTGAGCAGGAGGCTCCTTCAGACATCAGCCAACATGTTCAGCGGCCGTCAGATTAACATAAAGGAGTCTCAGGGGGCTAAAGGTCACGCTGTAGCTGCACGAGTCTTACCTCGATGACAATATGTGCCGTCTCTTGATGGTTCTGACCACGTTTGTCTGTCTGCAGAGGCGGTTCTGGGATGAGTACGTCCGGGAGAGCAGTCCGTCAGGAGGTCTGGAGACGGTGGTGGGAGGAGTCCACTCCCTCTACCTGATCGTGCCGCTGCTGCTGGTCGTGCTCATCATCGCCGCCGTCGCCATCACCGTGTGGCGATGTCACTCCCGCAAGCGCTCGCAGCGCAGCCCCAGCCTGGGACACTCGCACCACAACCACGTCCTGTCAGTGGTGTCCATGGACCAGTGGGGGCGGGATTACCACCACGGTGACCAATCAGAACTCAGCGTCCACAGCAGCCCAGCTTACCCGGGCTCGGAGCTGACGTCGGGGAGAGGGAGCGCCGGAGACCCGCCGCCGTCGTACGAAGAGGCCGTGGGCCACACAGACGTCCAGATAGAGACCGAGCCTCCTCCGCAGTACGACGACATCATCAACACCAGCTCCACCAGCGTCAGAGGAAAGTAAACGTGTCTCTAACCACCACCCAACAGAAGTCCTAACCACACTAAGACCATCTTATTGTTTAGCAGTGCTACTGCTGTGGTATCACCAGCCTTCCCCATTCCACACACACACACACACACACACTATTAACTGCCGGGTCAGTGGACTAATGCAATCATTGCTGGAGCCAGCGCTGTTGAAATTTGCACTAACCTTTTATCACTGCGCTGAAGTGATAGCAGGAAGGAGCAAGTGATATTGCAATACCAAAACCAATCAGCACCTCTGCTGCATCTCCTCATCTATGCTGTCACGCTGTAGCGGATCACGTAAGTCAGCGAAGCCTAACAAATGTTGCATGTGGTGTGAAAGACGACTGGTTCTCATTGCCATAAACGACAAACGACTTTTCTACGTGTAGGCTGAGGTCAGACTGATGCTTCACTGACGGTTAGTGCCAATTTTTTTAGACTTTCGAGGGCAACATCGGATATTTTGTACCTGTTTTTAATATCTTTGACCACTTTGTTGTCAAGACATAGTATTTATGGTTTCCATTTTAAAGTTTGTATAACGGAAATGTTCAGAAACAGCATTTCGACCACAGAACATGAACTTCCAGACGACATAAAGTTGCATTAAGACATTTGTGATCATCAAGAGGCAAGAAAAGATCTAAAACTACTTAAGAATCACTTTTAAATATCAGATAATCACATATTCAGAAAGAGAGCAGCATGAGTTTGTCACCAACTGGTTCAATATTTACTCGTTAACTCTGGTTTAATTGATCCGTTGGGAAAAATGAGTCTTTAGGTGCCACCAGTCACGTTTTTACTTCAGATAGCATGAACCCGGTTTGTCTGAGCGTATTAACTGACCGTTCCACATTACCACCAGTAATTTAATTCTTTTTTTTTGGTGTCATAAATATGCCTTAATGCAGATTTAAACAGTCACGTTGCCAAATCACTGCATCAGTCTGACCTCAGGATACACTAGTGAATGTTTTCGGGGGATTAGGGTTTGAGATAAGGGCCGTGGGTATAAAAGGGGCGCTGTTTGTAAATGCGTGTCACATGTGCTTATATCTCGGTAATGCATGCAGCTCGGCCCCGACGCCAGCTGGGATCTGTCTCTGCACCGTTGGTCAGGACTCGCTGGTCCACTTGTGGGCCGCTGACAGTTGCTCAGAACCTGCTTTAACTGTGAAACACCCTCCTCCCTTTTTTCCCATAAAGCAAATGCGTCTTCTGGATCCTTCTTGCTGTGCCACTTTTCACAGGAATGTGGGGCAGAAAGCAGCAGAGACCGGAGCTTTTGGGAAAAAAAGAGTTATCGGGGGAAGATTATGTATTTAACGTCACTACTGATGAAGTCCATGTTTAGCATGTATAATGCACCTCTATATAAATATGTATAGTCTGTATGCGTGGAAGTTACAGTGAGATTGTTTTTTTTTACTGCATAGGAATGCAGTGAATGCATCGGTACTAATGTAACTATACTAGAGTAAGTTGTGAATAATGAAGGCACTTTGTGTTTAACCTTAAAATAAGGTGTTTAAAGCCTTAAAGGGGACCTGCTATGCACATTTCCACCTCTAAAGTTCTATTCCGAGTAGTTTAAAAACAAAAAAAACCCCTTTATTTATCTTAAATTTGCCATTTGTGCAACCATTCAGTTTATTCTCTGATTTTTTTTTAGCTCCTGTCTCTTTAACGCCTCAATCCCTCTTCTGATTGGCCGAATTCTGGAAGCCTGCTGAGGGTCAGCAACCAGTGCTTTTGAGCTGGGTGTGAAGAAAACAATTAAAACCAGCATTCAGAGCAGTTTGAAGCTGAGGTTTTGGCTCACAGGGGTTAATTTACACACATTTACGTCATTATTTGAAACTTTAATATAAACATCTGCCAACGTTGTAACATCAAACCTTTTCGTATGTGACAGAAATTAAGTAACAGCATAGCAGGTCCCCTTTAATGACCCGTAGGACGGTCTGGTTTGACGTCTTCAGCGTCACTCTCAGTAATAACGATGTCACTGTCATCATCGGAAAAAAGTGCTCATAAACTATATGCAATGTTGCTGCATACACTCTAAAACCAAATATATCTGTCTAATTTTCACACTGACGCTGATAAATGTCACATATTTCCCGTCTACACCTCACAGACGTCGAGCACTGATTATTATTATTATTATGCTGTACTTTTTTGTGAGTTGACCTGTGAACCTCAGCACTTGCGATGATACAGAAGTGAGTTGTGCTGGTAGAGGTAGCCATTTTGATTAGGTCAGTTGTTGTACTGTTACTTACAGAGCCCTGTTTTTACAATGCCTTATCAAACAAAATGTTATATAACATTAAACGCAAGGGAACTTGTTATAAATCCTCGACTTGTGCAAAAGCTTGAATTAATTTGTAATAAAAGCATTTAAAATGTGCTGAACGTCGCGTGGAAGTCATTTACTTTACTTTACGAGCCAAACCTATGAACTAACTTCATCCTGCCTCTTGAAAACATGATTTAAATTTAAGTTCTTGACTCCTCTAGAGATAATCATTAACAGAAATACAAGGATGCAATGCTGAGAATCGTACAGTCTCTCTCAACGGGGTCAAAGATGTGAGAAACTGAATAAAACTGAGAATACAGTCATAAAAAATGGGTTAACTCATTCTGTTCGGTGCTGGAACAAACAGAAAATATGTCACGGAGTAAAGGGAAAAGAATGTAGAATATCAGGTCAAATGTTATAAAAGCTAGACGCTATTTTTAGAGGCTAAGTCCTGAAAACAATAGTGCCCTGGACACATCATCTGCGATTCACGTTTATCCTTCCCGTGGAACACGATCCCAAATCCAAGTATTGTTTCCTGCTGTTCAAACAAACCGGGAGGCGACTCATTAACCGCAAATGGGAAGACCGAGCACGACGTAAACGGAGCTCATCGGGGAGCAGTTAATTCCGCTCATCTCGCTTTGATTGTCAAAAAATAACCCATTGTTCGGAGCAGATGCACTTGGCCATCAAAAGTACTTTTATTGACATTGGTCGGACACACAGCGGCTCAGTTTGTCCTTATTTTCCCTTTTCAGTGCTTCATTAAAGATGAGGAGAGTCGAGCTCTGACAGCCTCAAGTGGAGCAAAAGCCACATTTAGCTCAGGCGTAGAAAAAAAAAAAAAAACTACTACTACGTGACACAAACACTTGTTAAAAGGACCTCGAAGCAGGTCACCTGTGCAGTTTCATTATTTGGTGTTGCTTTACGCGGCCAGGCAGTACAAAAAAAATGGCACAAATCTCAGTCGTTAACAATCATTAAATTAAGTTTGATAAAGTGCCAACAAGGCTGATTCGACAAAACATAGCAAACGAGGAAGAGAGAGAGAGAGAGAGAGAAGTACCAGTGCAAAACTCTTCAGACACTTGATATTATTTTGGTAAACGCTGGGTCACAGCTTTGGAAAACACAACAAAGACGTGTCTGGATGTTTTGTCCATAGTGACATGTAAACTTGCCGACACCGCCATCACACCCACTCCTTGGGGTTTCGTAACACCTCCAGCATCTCGGCCTCCAGGGTACCTTTGGCAGGCTCGTGCATGTACTCCCACCTGAGGATGAAGGTGAGACGGTTACCGGGCAACGCTCGCGTAAGTTACTGCTGCTTCACACAGGCGTCGGGTTACCTGGCGGTGAGCGGGAGGGACATGAGGATGCTCTCGATTCTGGAGCCGGGAGTGGCCAAGCCGAACTTCACTCCTCGATCGTACACCAGGTTGAACTCCACGTATCTGCAAAACAAACACACACATGTAACGACCGGAGACACAAGCGTCACACGTTTTATGATGCATTAAGTTCAGATGCATCTCAAATCACCAACTTTTTAGAAGCATTTCTGCTCCACCATCTCTGATTTAACTCAAATTTTTAACAGCATAAAATATAGATATTGATAAATTTATGATCTGTTTTAAAAGAGGTTTGTAATTTAGCCTCAAATCATTTCTCATAATGCCACTGATTCAGAATCTGCAATACTGAATATTTAAATAAGAATATTTATTAAAATATCTGTGAAATTTTAGCTCGATATATCAACTACTTTCCAGATAATGTTTGTCTTCTTATAAATTGCTCATCAACCTTCATTCAGCAGGTTTTTTTGTTTTTTCGCACATTGAAATTTGAGGCTGTTTGAACAACAATATCTCAGAAACCATTAAAGATAAAAGCCTGAAATCTTCACTGTTATTCTTCAACATGTCACTGATTCACAACCTATAATATGGAACAACTACATTAAATCATCTCTAATTATAGTTGATGGCAATATGAAGAAAACAACTCAAGCCGTCATGAAAAGTCCCGTCTCTGAGCTCATATAAACAAAAAAAAGTCAACTAGTGATGTGTGTTTTTTAACCAAATGTAGCTGAATATAACAATAATACAAAACTAAACATATAAAATACCAGGTCAAAAAAAAAAAAGTATAAGTATCATAGGTGACTGAGCAGGTTTAACAGGTTGCAGCACAAAACAAATATTTCTGGATAGTTTAATCCAAGTGGAAACGCTCAGCCCCAGTGCTGACTGCTTGTTCTGCTGATTCTGTGTCTTCCAGCATATAAAAGACACCATATGGACATTTTAACAGAGCAAAAAAACAAAAACAAAACTTGCCTGAGCTGTGGCGGTAAGCCAGCAGCGTAACATCTCGAGTTAACAAGTACTTGTTTAATGATGACTCAAGTCTTTCGGGTCGATGAGTCGTGGAAAGTTCATCATTTTTCACCAGTGTGGGAACTTTTCCCATCTTTGCTCATTGTTTGTCTTTCAGGACTGATAACTACACACCAACCCGGTTTACTAAAGTTCACCGATTCCAGCCTCTTCTTTCTCCTGCTGCCCCTGACTTCATCCCAACCATCTCAGCTCGTTATTGCACTTCTTCCCATTCATAAACTCGTCTTTCAGCTCATTCTGTTTTGTTGTCGACTGTGTGGCAGCGAGTTCTGCCAGAATCTGCAGCAGCTTCAGACCACACAGGCTGTAAACAGAGTCTGAACCTGCAGCAGAGCTCTTTACTGAATACGGCAGCTTAAAAACACAAGTTAAAGTGACTGAGTGTACGAGAGGTCCTGAGCCTATTAAGACCAGCAGCCAGGTCTGTAGGTGTAGAGGAAAGGCAGTAGGTCACGTAGACTCAGTTCTGCTGGGCGTCTTCTACTCACCTTCCTCGTCGTACCTGCTGCCAGTCCTTCTCCTCGTCGGTGAAGCTGTCGTTGAGGTGTTTGGATACGATGGGTAAATAACAGGGGACCACAGTGCGAGCGCAGCTCTTGACGAAGTTAAACGCCTCCTCCTGACTCGGAGCGTCCAGGTCATCGAAGAAGATCCCTCCGATACCGCGAGTCTCCCCTCTGTGGCGGATGTAGAAGTACCTGTCACACCTGGACAAAGAAGAGCGGGATGGAAAACTTATTCACTTTTAATGTGGAACTACAGATTTGATTTTGATAACGGGATAAGAGAACTACCTGTAGAGGTACACGTAGCTACTTCGGACAACAAAATGTTAAAGGTAAAGACAACTGAGGTTAGCAGCACGCAAAAGAACACAATGGTTCAAGATCACACCCTAAAACCACACAACAGACAAAACTAGTAGGTAAAGAGGACAATATAAGCAAGATTTTCAGTCTGTTGGTTCTACACCTACACAGACTATAACGTGGATTTGTTTATCTTTCATTACAACGTATAAAAATATATGTTTTTAACCAAATTATGTAAAGGTGATGATCAAAAGTCAGTAAGAGCAAAAATAATTCAGCTAAAAGTACATCTACAGAGACAAGCAATATAATTAAAGCTAAGACGTGCTGCTCATCAAATATAAAGCTAACACTAGGGCACTGTTAGCTTAGCTTAGCATAAAAACTGGACACAGAGGGAACCAGGAAGCCTGAAGGGTTAAAAAAAAAATCTAACAAAGACAACCAGGTACCATCTGTAGCTTCATATTTCATGGACAGATGAATAAATCTCACCTAAATCTCAGCAAGAGCACGAGACTTTTTCTAAAAATGTGACATTATTCCTTAAATTGAACTTCAAATTCAGGATTGCACTCCTTACAGCCACATCAGATAAACCACACCCGTCCTTCAGTGTCCACTCATCATCATTTACTCAACGGTTTTCTGCAACTGCAGATTTCAGGCAGAGACTTTTCTTATCACCATCCCACAGTGAGGATACACCCATTGTGATCCACAAACACAAATACTGAGAAATCATGCGCACAGATGCGTACGTGCTCAAGACCATGTGCTCATACACCACAACATTAAAACCACCTGCTTGTGTTGTGTTAGTCTCCCCCGTGAGTCGAGACCATGAATCAGGGAATCTGTAGGTCGAGTCAACCGCTTGAACTCTTTCTCATGTTGCCTCAAATAACTCCTGAACAATGTTTGCAGTGTGACTTGGTACTAAAAGAGTCCATCGGGCTGCTAGGAGGGCGTGTACGCGGCCTGCAGCGGTGTTTAGGCGTCAACACCACCTGAACTCATGGAGCGTCACACCGCCTCCTCCAGCTCACCGTCCCATCCCATCCTTTCCTCAGGTGAATAACGTACCTTGCCTTCCACGTGATGTGATTCATCAGACACCAGCTAATGCTAAGCTAACTTTATCCTCTTTGTATTAGTACATCTTAGCTTTCATTACATTCCCTGTCTATTTAAATGCACATATTTCTAATTCTTTTTGACAGACTTTTCCTGACTTTTTGATCATTTATTTGTTTTATTTTTTGTCCATCCCTTAGTAAGAAAAACACATGAACTTCAGCAGCATCTTGTGTGGTGTTTAAAGTAGTTAAACATACATGTGCAGGTAGTTCTCTCCACTGTTTTCACAAAGGAATGTGATTAATTTTGAACTTCTGTAGGCACTTTTGGTGGAGGTCAGAGGTCAGCATGGTTCTTATACCTCTGGTTCAAAGGTAGTCTTTGCTTGGAAAACTTTTGGGAACAAGTTCCTACCATCATAAGACCTGACCCAGCTGCCTAAACATCACAATTTGGTTACTCATGTCCATACAGCTGCGTATCTTTCCCCACATCAACATCAAGAATTCACAGTTGTTCTGCTGCCTGTCAGTGGTTTTAATGTTGTGGCTGGCGAGTGAACACAGAGTTTAACGAACACAGGACGGATCAACTCGGTACCATTTCTTGAAGTCGGGGTAGTACTGCGGGTGGTGCTTGTCGCAGGCCTCCTTCAGGGTGTTGTGGAAGTGAAAGGCATCTTCTTTGTTGATATAAACCGGCGTCAGGTCTGTGCCTCCACCGAACCACCACTGCTTAGTGCCTGGAACACACAGCAGAACACACAAAGACAAGAAAGATGCAAACAAGGGTTATCATTCATCCGCACACTCAATAGTGTCACTGACACCCGGAGACGACGCTGACGTAAAGGCCTGACGCTCACCATCTTCCTCCTCGATCTCAAAGTATCTGTAGTTGAAGTGCACCGTGGGGATGTGGGGGTTCTTGGGGTGGATGACGGAGCTCACTCCCATGGCACAAAACGGCAGCTTACCTGGACGAAAACACAAAATGATAAACACACACGGAGATCAGGCACATTTTAGTGTCAATTAGAGCATCTCAGGACAAATGTGAAGAGTAAAACAAGTCAAGAACTCTACTCAATAACTCAAGTTCACATTGAGGTAATGCGAAGCAAAAGGATGCGTTACAGCGAACATCCAGCCAGAAGCTACATCAAGCTATTAACTGTGTAAATCCCACATTACCAGAACTCACCATCTTTCCCTTTGAGGACCTTCCCTCTGCTCCTCATCTGTCTCGCAGCCTCCTCGGTCAGGTTCCCGAACACCACCGACACGTTGACGCCCGCCTTCTCAAACACCTTCCCGTCCTGCATCACACAGCTGATCCCTCCACCGCCTGACACGGACAAAAGGGGATGAATTAAAATCAGCGCTTTTTTTTTATCTGCATCTTGAACCACGTTTCTCTCAGCAAAAACAAAAAAAACACGTTGCATGCTGCTGGAAAACAAAACTGGAAGAATCTCAGGAACATCTTCTGTTCCGCAGTCGTGTTGCACAGATTATTGAGATTTGAAGAGTTTCCTGTCACAGAGGAGGAACGAAACCAGAAAATAGGAACTTAAATCAGAAAAGAAATACCCCTTTTCTTAAAGAAATCACTCAAACCAATGAATCGCTTATCAGAATAATTAGACAACAGTTGAGAACTAAGCGATTATACAATTATTAATTGCAGCTGTACTTTTGATGGCATTTGATTTGGCTTTGTTAGGTTCCTATAGTGTTGTATGGTGTGAGTATATTACATGTTACAGATTAAAACCCTGCAAAAATGAGACACTATATTACATGAGTGTAACACCTTTAAGGCTGTGTACCTACAGTGTTACTCATTGTGGAGAATAATCCAATTTAATAATGTAGCTACAGCATTATAAATGAACTTAACCGAACTAATATAAATATTTAGGCTCAGACAAAATAGAAGATTAACTTGACTAATTTAGAGTCAAAGTTGTGATGCACAGAAACATACATAAACCCAACAAATCCAAGAGTTCCTGGATCATCTATGAGCAAGCTCTTTATTGATTTTATATTTTTTGTAATATTGCTCTGCTATGAATGGATTCTGTGTTATTATGTGTTATTACTACCACATTGGATTTCATTGTGTTTCTGTTTTAATCTGTTTATGTAAATGTAAAGACAGAAAAAAATGTTTTTTTGACTTATTTTTTTAATCCTGCAAAATGTCAGTGTTTGATTAAAATATGCACCAAGATTGTTATTTCATAAATAATTGAAATAAGAAATGTAAAGAAAAAAACACCTATGAACTATTGATAATAAAAGATTTTTGTTTTACAACCTGCAAGAGTCAACTTGTTGAATTAAAATGTGCACTAAGGTTATTATTTTAGACCTTATTTAAATAAGAAATGTTCAGTGTCTTGTTTTCTCATCTATTTTTGCATCATGTGTCCTGTTGTTTCAGGTCATTCCTTCAGTGTGAATTATTTATGCAGTAATCTAAGTCCTCACTCCGGCACCATGACAGCTCCTCTGCCCGGCGTGTCCCCTCCACGTCCCCTCACCTTCCTTCCTGTCCCAGCGGTCCACCTTGAACGTCCCTCCGTCCACCTCCTGCAGAGCTCTGCAGAACTCGGCCTGCGTCTCCATGATCAGCAGCTCCATCCTGGTTCGCATCTCCGCCTTGCTCCCCTGCAGCACGCTGATGTCGGTGACCGGAGGAGACATGAAGCCGCGGCATCTCTCCAAGATGTCCCCCTCCTCCTGCTCCTTCTCCTCGACGGCCGTGGAGACCCTCGTCGCCATCTCCGCCCGCTGGAAGTGGTTAGCGTTGGCCAGGAACCCCGCTACCGCCGCCGCTGCCGTCACTGCCGCGGCTCCTCCGAGCGCCAGGGCTCCCCTCCTGGTTCTCCGGGCTGCGGAGCTGCCTGCGGTCCCCTGGGACATGAACCTGGTTCCTCTGGAAAACCATCTCAGAGTCAGCGTCGGGCTGTGAGCGGAGCACGGCGGCTCTGCTGCACCGGCGAGCCGCGTTAGATGTGAACTCAAACTGCGTCTGGCTGCAGTTCGAGCCGTTCTGTTTAACGAGCAGAAGACAAAGGTCGCCATATTCAGGATGAACTCCCGCTTGTTCCGCTCTGCTCGGCGGCTCTTATCACCTAATGTGAACTTTGAAACTCCTCAAAACATTATCACAAGTTGTGCTACGTGCTATCTGTCATGTTAACCGTAAAGGGGCGTTTATCTTCCGGGTGTGGACAGAGGCATCATGGGAAATGTCGTCACGCCGCAGATAGCGCAGAGTGTTTAAAGCGTATAAAAAACATCAAAACCCAGAGTGCACTGCGCGTATGTTGCTTTCAAAGACGTCTCGTATGCTCCAGGTTTTGGCTTACCAGTTTTTCACACGGTTTCTTTTCTTTAACGCCTCTACAGCCGCTTTTATCTGGATCTAACCAGTCATATACAAATATATATATAGATGTAAAATTGTATTTTTGTAAAACTTAACGTTTTTTAGTCACCGTAGCATATCATCTCAAACAGTAACAGCAAAGTATTTTTTTTTTACAAAGCTGTACTTAAAGTGCACATCAAAAAATGTGTATTTTTATCAGTGGAAAATTGTTCTTGTACAATGTTTAATTTTAAAATTACACATAGCTTTACTGTATTTGAAAAAGCCCCACCCCCTCAAAAAAAATCTAATTGTTTTACAGATAGATGTTTAGAATTATTTGAAAACAAATATGTGCATATTGGGGATTGAAAAGTGGTAAATAGTTTTGTTCAGCTGTTGTAATTGTGTACATCCCCCCTGTTTTGTTAAACTGCATTGTGGATAATATCCAGCAGAATCACAGGGATTAAAAACATATTAGATGTTGACTGTAAAAACAAACAAACACGACATCAAAACTCTGTATTAATACAAACACTAATTTGTTCTTTTGGACCACCAACGTGCACTATTTTACTGTTTTTAAATCTGATGAATATATAGTCATTTTACAGATATCTGCCGTTAGTTTTAACTAATTTTTACAGTTTTTGAACGTTGCAGTATTCCACCTTTTAAAGTTTTTTTTTGTGTGGCACCCTTGCTGCCTGATTTTTTTCCTACCTTTTATTTACAAGATTTCTTTTACAATGAATGAAATACAGAAGTATGCACACTCCTATGTATGAACACCATATACACACACACCGCTACAACTCTTGCACTGCTTTATTAATCAGTAGTTTATTTTTTTCCCAGTTATAGCTCAACAATATTAAGTTAACTCTCTATTCGATTTTTTTTTTTAAAGCTGCTGTTTATCTGTCAAATAACAGAAATAGTTCCGCTTTATTTTACAGCCTTTGTCCAAAAAACAAAGCTGCAGTAAACCATTTCCTGAACAGTGTTTTTAGGGGTTTACGGTTTATGTGTTTTTGCGGTCGAGTTTTAATGGGACGTAAACCCTCTGCGCATGCGCAAGTAGTAAAGCGTGTTGTCGGTCTCTATGGCGACGGCTCTATTAAAGCTCCGAGAGCAGGACTGAAGCAGATTATGAGGACAGGTGTTGCTCCGCGGACTGCAGCCTGTTCGTGGGTCAGCTAATGGAGTGAAAAGCGTCCAGCTGGATGATTCTGCGGCTGCTTTTCGACTGAACAGAAAAAAAACCAAACTGCGCAGGAAGCTGCTGCTGGTGAGTTTAAGCGCGTTAATCTGTTTTTACTGATGTTTGGTCCCTGCAGCAGCACATTAAGACTCATGTGACTCCTGCTGGTGCAGAATCTGCTCTGTATCCCACCTGCAGCTCAGTTTATTTTGATAAAGCACACAGATATAAAACAATCAGGATTATTCCGTCTGTTTGCGTTGCAGCCTGTGTTGAAGCCAGTCAAAGTGACTTACAGTTAATATGTTGATATAAAAGCTAAAGTAAACCGGACAACATACAAGGAGGAAGGAGATATTAGTAAAAACAATAATATTAGTTTTCTGCTGACCATGCAGTACTGGTTTCTGTCCAGTAGATGAGGACAAAAAGCAGCTTCAGTCCTGTGTGAAAACCAGTAAAATGTGTATTTGACTGTTTATAATGACAACCAACAAATGAAATGAAAATGAAATGAAAAATACTTTATTCATCCCAGAAGGGAAATTCAATCCTGTAAAAGCTCACCTTTCTTTTTTTTTTTTTTAAATCAATATAACATATATATCAATATAACATATATATAAATCAGATTACAGGCAAAATATTTCAAATAATAGATTTAAATTAGTTTTGAACACAGCTGTTTTTCTTTTTATTGCCGTGGCATCAATTCCGTTCAGTCCAATGATTATTGGTTTGGTTGGTTTATAGAATTTGACGTGACAACATCTATAAATGCACCTCATTAATACCAGACAGGCCACAATCTCCTCACAGTGTGCATCAGTACCGTGTGTCTGCAGCAGCTGCATTTGACGTCTCCTGTTAAACTGGGAAATAAAGGGAGTAGAATATTTCAAAACATTTCTAGTCAGGATGCAGTCACAGTGTGAACGATAAATGTGAATCAGGTTCGATTTATTTAACAATAAACACAGTTTGGGTAAACAGTAGTTACTGTTAGCTTGCCAAAGTGGAAATAACAACCAATGATAGTCTTCAGGCACCATAATAAACTTTCCAAACCATAAGTAATTGTTCCTAAAGTAGTATTTGTGTGGAATAGACCTTTAAAACCTCCATTACAAATTACTATTTTTGTGGAATAAGCCTTTAAAACTATAAGTACTTGGATTTAAAGTAATATTTATGCGCGGATGCACCTTTAAAATCATCACTTGCTGCTTAAAATTTACTATTTAGGTAAAGTAAACCTCTAAAACGATAAGTACTGGGACGGAAATGAGCATTTTGAGTGGAATTAACCTTTAAAACCATAAGTCCCAGACTTTAGGATCATCCAATTTAGCTGCAACAAACAAAGGTCCTGAAGCTGCAGCCTGCTCTGCTGCAGACAGACACAATACTGATGCATACTGTGATGTGATGGTGGTTCAGCTGATACTAATGAGGTTTATTTATCCCCAACCACAAAATACTGGATGTAATGGAGTTAATGCCACAGTAATAAAGGTAAGTAATTAGGTTTATGGGTTATCAATTTCCTTACCTAAATAGACGAACCCTAATCAATATGCCGATCAGTACTTTACAATATTCACTTTAAATACATCCTCAGTCGTCAGCATAGTGGTAAATAAATGCATCTGCACTGACACGGTGCTCCTTTGGTCATTATTAATAGTGTATTTGGGCATGAATAGGAATAAAAAAAATCAAATAACTTGAGTCAAAATTAATTCTACTCGTATATTCCAGTGGTGACTCCAGCCTTTTTTCAAATGATGGAGCTAAAATGTGATTCTTGTCTTGAGTTTGACATTGAAAATATCATGGGATCAACCAAAATATTAAAATTCAACCTCTGGGGATCATGAATATGCATATTAATGTTGGAGACGCTGTATCATGGATTAAATGTGCGTCTGGTGACACCAAAGTCTTAAAATCATAAGAATTTATTCCTGGAGGAACCTTTAACAAATGTTTTAGTGTTTGCTTTGCAATGTTTTAACAGAATGGTGAATGAATAACACGACTGACAATGATTGATTTTAGCCCAATATAAAACCAGAGAAAATTCTAATACTTGAAAAAAAAAACCAAATATATTATAGTAAAAAAACTCAGACTTTACCGACTGAAAAACAGTTTTTACCCAAAAGCCATCAATGCACTTTACTCTGCTGAAACCTGGAACGTGCAGCATCACAAGTCTTGAGTTCTGTTCAGTTTTCCTTTTTCTGTTCTTTTCCTTTTTATAATCTTTACTTCTCTTTGTGACTAATCTTTTCATTGTTAGATTAGAAGGATTTTTCGTGTATTTATTTACCTGCACACCTCTGACTGATCCACTGTTTTCTGCTCTTGTACAGGTTTACATACAATGTTGTTTTATTGTGCAATGAAAAATAAAGATTTTCTATTTACATTATACACAGAATCTATAGGTTTTCTACTGGGGCCTGGATTCTGGGGGACAAAGCAGGAACTCACTGTTTTCTATCACTGACACTTAAAAAAAACATTATATACACGTTGTATTGTTTGGTACTAAATTACAGAGCTCGTATGAACAATACTGAAGATGTTCATGCAGGTTTTAGAGACTATTTTGTTTCATGGAACTAAATCACTAAATCTTTTTTGTTTCGTGGAGCCTCACATCAAATTTCTATTCAGGTATCTCGCTCAGGACTGACTGTTCTTCAGATAAATAATCACACCTACACCTGTCTGTGTCTCTTGTTCTCAGCGGTGGATTATGAGCGAGGCGTCTTGCAACAAGTCTCAGGAGGAATATGAAGACGACTTTGAGAAGGATCTGGACTGGCTGATCAGCGAGGAGGGACAAAGCGAGGACCAGGTGAGTGGAGACGAGCTGACTGGATCTCCTGTTTCTACGGTTTGTTGTGCTGCTCTACTTCCTGCAGCCTGTGAAACTGTGACAGCGGCTCGTGTTGAGTTTCCCCGACTTGGCTCGTCTCACCGTTTGCATGTGAAACCCGCGCCGTTGACATACGGCGGCAGACTTTCACCGCCGGATGCAATATTGATGAACGAACGTACACATATCTGTTGTCACGCCAGACACTGATGCTGCTCTGTCGTTTACATTCCAGTTAATGAATGCAGAGTGTGTTCACCTCACAGGGTCCCGACTACGAGGACATAGAGGCGCAGATCGACAAGGAGCTGGAGGAAGATGAGAAGCGTAAAGGAGTGAGAAGGAAGCAGAAAGGCCCAAAAGTGGAGAGGAGAGGGAATAAAGCTCAGGAGGAAGACGAGGAGCGGTGGCCGTCACCGATGGAGCCGCTGGAGTACGATTCGGACCGAGACAGTCTGAGCAAGTCGCCGCCGATCATCCCTCCTCCCCCGGGGATGGACGAGCAGACGGACGAGGAGAAGAAGTACATCCTGGAGAAGATCCAGCAGGCCAACCGGGAGCTCCAGGACCAGGAGGCGCCGGACATGACGAGACGCAGGCGGCTGCATTTCAAGGAGACGCTGGTGGACCTGGTGGTTCCTCCGGAGAAAGACGGTGGAGCGGAGGCAGACAGCGAGGTGTCGGGGAAGCTGTCCGAGCTGAAGCTTTCCCCTCGAGATGAAGGCAGGTCGAGGGAGAGCGGCGATGGAGGCCAGGGGATGAGGGAGGGCCGGGTCCTCGTGGAAAAGGACGGAAAGTTTGACCTCGTCAGCCTGAAGGAGGTGGAGAGTCAGGGCCTCCTCCCTCCCATCGCTAACTTCAGCGACTGCTCACACTCATCCCAGCAGAAGATCCACAGCTCCTCCGCCTCTTCCTTCTCCGCCTCCCTCCATCAGGGCATCGAACACCTCCGGGCCCCCAGACCTCCGGCTCAGCCCCGCAGCAGGCCCAGCTCGGCCAGCCACAGCCAGCGAGGCGGCGGCCAGAGGAGGAGCAGCAGGCGGCGGGTCCAGTCGGCCACCGGAGCGCCCTGCCAGCCCACATACACCCTGTCAGCCCAGCAGAAGGTGCTGCTGCAGAAGATGCAGGAGAGGAGGGACAAGGTGGCCAGAGAGGTGAGGAGGACGGTGACAGGAACAGATTAAAAGCTTCACCATTACTTCTACTTATTGTTGTTGTGTGCAGGAGGAGCAGAGGAAGCGCGAGGAAGAGGAGCTGAAGAGGCAGGAGAACGAGTTGGCCTTCAAAGCCTGGCTGATGAGGAAGAGGGAGCAGCTGCAGGAGGAGAGGAGGATCCACCGGGCGCAGGAGATCGAGAGGATCAACTCCACGGTGCGACCACACAAACACACAAACACACAGTTTACACGAGGAGAGAAATGAAGCTCTGATCCTCTGGCAGCTGTTTTACATTTTACTTCAGCTGCATTGATGCTCATTGTGTTCATATTTAGCAAACGTTATGTGTCATCTTTAACACATTTATTTAGGTGGTAACGAGCTCCATTGATATTCACCATTTTGCACGTTTCTAGACATTCATTAGCAGATCAGTGTTTTACCAGTAAAATCACTCGAGCAGCTTTTTAAGAACCCAAACATACAGAATAAGGTCTTTCAGCAAAGAATGTTCGTCACAAAAATCCCAAATATTGTTCACAGAAAATTCAAAGAACATCATGAGAGCAGGAGGAAATTCTAGAAATAAAAGAAAATTAGAATAACGTGACAATAAATGCAGTGACTGATAGAACAGATATACATAGCATAGAAGAGACTCAAGAAGCTTTTTGAAATTCAAGCAGCCTTGTTTCCTGGAGGAACCTTATTAAATGAAATAGAGGTTAAAGCCATCATTTTATGATGGAGGAATAACATGGCTGACAAAATTATAATGCTTTATCTTAGTCTAATTTAAAACAATTTTAAAAATCCAAACATTTACTTAATATACAGGATCAGAAGGTTTGTTTTTCACTTCAAAAAACATACTGAGAAACTGTTTTAGGTTTGATTTTAGCTCTTTTGAAAATCCAAAAGATATTTCTGTAAGTTCTAGAGACTTTTTGTTTTTTGTGTATTTGGGCTAATTAGGATCCAGTTTTACCTTCTGCTGACATAACTGTGAGGAAATGAGTCTCAACACTCAAGTTCCTCTTTACCTTTTCCATTTTATTTAGATGCATTTATCCTTATCTTTGGGGATCAAAAACACATAATAATAATAAGAATAAAAACCTTTAAAGAACCCATCTGTGGAGTTCCTCTAGGAGTTATTTCAAATGCTTTTCCACCACAGTGGCGATGGTGAGGAATCCCAAAAGGTCGAGGTTCTTCCACTGTTATGGGTGTCTATTAGTAAAAATTAAAATAAGCTTTAAACTAAAATAAAACTAAACTAGAAAAGTAAGACCTGACAATGACACTGAAGTGATAAACTAAGAGTGCACATCATAATGAAATACTGCAGCGATGCAGGGAAATTGCTGCATCTTTGTGAATCCCTGCTGCTCCTGCTTCCCCCGACAGAAAGACTCGAGCGACCCGGAGGAGGCCTTCAGGTTGTGGCTTCAGAGGAAACAGGAGCAGCAGCAGAAGGAGAAGCAGCTGGTGGAGCTGAAGAGGCTGGAGGAGGACAGCAGCTTCCTGCTACGCAGCCGCGAGGAGTGTGAACGTGCCTTCAAACTGTGAGTCCAACTTTATGGCTGTTAGCCTCTCGATGACGTAATAATCAGGACAGCTGCGTCGTTACTGGAAAGAATCAATCAGTGTCAGACTAATTAAAGAGCATGAAATGTCAACCCTCTTCTATGGACTTCAAGGGCATGAAACTCGAAATATTCATGGTATGAAGGTAAAACTTTGCAAGGCTTCGTTTAATATATCAAAGTTATTAAACAGTTATTAAACAGCTGATTCTGAGAAGGCCGGGGGGAAATTTTGTCAGATTTGTTATTAGTTTTTTATATGTGGAGATAAAGGTAATCCTCCCGAGACAAGTCCACTAATTAGTTACCTCTTAGGTTTAATTTTTTTTAGACTATATTTGGGTTTTTACATGTTCAATGTAAGAATAGAGGTCAGTGTTGGAATTAGTGTCAGTTTTTTTTAGGAGAAAAAATATTTTTGAGTAATTTGTAATAATCAACAACTTTATCAAATTAAATTTGTAGTGTTATGGGTTTTGTGTGTGTATTTTGCAATGTCAGTGACATTTAAGCCATCAACAGACCAGAAAATGACTGAAGAGACATTTAGAATAAGACTTAGGGAATAAATAATAATTGTAAAAAAAATAAAAATAAAAAATAATAATAAATAAATAAATAAAAATAATAATAATAATAATAATAATAATAATAATAATAATAATAATAATAATAATGATAATAATAATAATAATAATAATAAAAAGCTGCTTACAGACAGTAAAGTAAGTAAAATAAATAAGTAAACAAAGAAAAAAGAAAACAAGGAAACTCAGGAAGAACTAATGACAATAATAACAATAATACTAATACTAGTAATAATAACTTGACTCACTGTGCTCCACTGCTTCCCCTCCTGGTACTTCCTGGTCCTTCCCCTCCACAGCTGGTTGAGGAGGAAGCGGGCGGAGAAGCGGGCCGAGCAGCAGGCGGCCCGGGAGCGTTCCCGCCGGCTGGTGCTGGAGGAGCGGCGGGCGCGACGCATGAGGGACCTGCTGTGCATCAACGAAACCAAACCGTTCAGGTTCAGCGAGCAGCTCGTCTACCGCTTCTGAACCCTCAGAACCAACACAAACCAGAACATTTCAGTGAGCAGAACCCGTTCACACAGACTCAGTGTTTGTTTAATTATTTCTGTTCCTGTGTTAAAGAGCGTTCCTGTAAACGTGCACCGCAGTGACCTCGACTCAGTGTAAATACAAATCTGGGTGAATAACTCAGCAACATGAACTACTGGTGTGACAAACATGTTCTTTTCTTTGTTTTTTTTTACTGAGTTTACACGCGTAGTGGCAGATGCACCTTACTATAAATGGAGCTGAACCATTTCTTACTGTTTGCCTTTTGTCAGAGAGTGTTACACAAATATATATATGACAAGAACATTTTATAAGAAGCCGCTTGAATACAGAATAAAATCTTTATCTGTAAAGGAAAACACTTGTCTTCATTCTTACCTGTTATGTTTAATTTGGATAAACAAAGCAGAAAGACACCATCATATATAGATACAGAATATTATATTTTTTAATTTATAGGCATGTAAACATATATTTCCGTGTGCTACAGCATTTCATTATTAAATATCAGTGAAACAAAAATGGCCGACCTTCATGAAAACAACAGGATTAGGTTTCCGGTCGGCGTTTTGAATCTTTCCTCTCTTGGGTTTTTTTTTTTTTTAATTTCTTTTGGATTTACAGTGCACGACTCATCATCTGTATCATCACAACACAAATATGTAGAGAAAAATAAAAGATCGTACAAATACACGTATTCCTTGAAACAGGAACGATTGGCATCTTTTATGAAAAAAAAACAAGTTCCTCATATTGAATGCAGACAGCAGCTGTCTAATTAATAAAACACATAAATAAAAGCATAAACTCACCATGTCCTCGCCTCAGTGAACATGTAAATCTGATTATTACAACAATAACAACAACAACAACAAGGCGAGTTCAGTTTCAGACTCGACACACACACACAAAGACAGAATCAAATATTCAGCATAGACTCTTCAGACGAGTGCTTTTCCAGACTTAGTCGCCCAAATGAGAAAAAACAGTGCGCTGCCTACTCTGAAAATCATTATTACTGGCACAGAAGTTAAACTGGAATAGCATATTGTTGTTAGTGATAGCATATTTAACAGTACCGCGTGTGACGACGGAGTTTAATATTATTTGAAACCACTGAAAACACGTTTCTGTTTTGTTTTTTTGGAATTTTTTCTCAAAGAAAATCCAAAGCAGTGAAATATCAGCTTCACAGTTCAGTGAGATTACAGGTCAGTCGAGAGTAAATTAACTTTGTCTGGACTGAAAGCATGTGACTGGATGGAAAAACAAAGAACTGAAGACAAAAACACACAAAAAAAATGACAATATCATCAATCTTGCACTTCAAACAGTACAAAAATAGAAATGTTCTGATCCAAAGGTGATTCAATAAATAGTTAAAATATACGCACGGATCAGCCACAACATTAAAACCACCTGCTTCTGTAGGAGTTCTGTAGTTTCACATCCCAAACGTGCTCGATCGCAGTTTGGATTCCTGGTCATCGTCTCTTGGTCTTGTTCCTCGAGCCTTTCCTGAAGAGTGCAGCGGGATGCTCGGTCCTGTAGGTGGAGGCTGCCACCGTGTTCAGGTGGATGGGAAAAGTCAAAACAACATCCACGTGAATGCAGGACTTAAGCTGGAGCTTTGTCTTCAGCTCGGCCGTCCACACGGTGTGAAACTGATTCCGTGGTTTTAAAGTTGCGTCTGATCGGTGCAGAAGGGTTTCGTCGATCTTTTCTGCTCCTACAGTTCGTCTTTAGGGTTGATGCTGAGGCCTTGACCCCACACCGACTGAGTGTCCAGAGCCTGGATCACCTCGTCGGCCTGCAGCCGCTCCTGGACACGAAAAAAACAGAGATTTAAAAAACATTTACAGAAATACTGTCCTTCATGATTGCTGGTTACGTCTCAGATCTACGTTTAATCATGCCGTGATTAAAGTACTCAGACGGATAAGTTATTGAAATGAGCTGCATCCTGACTTTAGTAACCTGCTGCTTAAATGTGCATTAAAATGATGGAGTAACCACAAATACACAGTGAGTACTTTTACTTTCGGTACTTTAGGTAAAAGCTGATGTCAATACTTGAACAGAAGCATCAGTTTGTGTCAATCCTAGAAATATGCCGTCTCACATCTTGTTCTACGTTTAGTTTTTTGTTATTTGTGACCTAAAACGAAGTTCTGTAAAAATAATTTTGCTGAATTTTTTTTTTCTAACCCTTAAAAAAGTCACGTAAAAACCATGTTAAGGGTTCAACATCTCCAGAAAAATAACTCACACAGCCAATAAATTTGGTGAAGACACAGACAGGATAGTTTCAAGCAGACACAGATAATCAAATAGGTCCAGCAGAGGACACATTTTTCATTTTAAGACCTTGAAAATCAAGATTTTCAAACCAGGGTGGTACTTGGGCCCCAGAAAGTTCCTGTAAAGGTATATATATATATTTTTTACGACTAAAAATGCAGTTTTTGTCTGTATTGTTGGTCTTAAATCAATGAAATTCTCAATCTCAGTCAAAACATTTCACAGAACTTGCATTCCAAGTAACAGAAAAGTAAACTGAAATGAGAGTAACTGATCCAGGATCACATCTGGAAGGTCACTGCAGGTTCACAGGAGTGAAACAGGATTGTTGTGTCTGATGAATGAATGATCTGATGTGGATTCGTACCAAAACATTAGTGTCTACAGAAGGCAAACTGCTGCTACGGACAGTTTTTTTTAGTTGCAACAGTGATGATGCAAAATTATAAAGGACAACTGCAAAAACTGACCATTAAACAAGTGTTTTACAGAAAGCAGTGAGTGATTGATTTGTGGGAATAATTCAGATGCAAAAGTTGAGAAGCTGCAGCCCACATAAAACACATGAAAATGAGTAAATCCCATCACAATGACATGCAACTCATTTAAAAACAACAAAAACACAAGAGCCTATATTTGCAGAGATAAAAGATAAAAGTTCTCGATATAAACCAGCTTTAATAAATGATTAGGATGTAAAGCAGAGTTTAATGTGGAGCAGCAGCAGCAGCTCACCAGCTCTCTGAACAACGGGTCCAGCGTGAACCAGAGCGCCACGGCACATCTCTGGCCGCTGGTGACGGCCTTCACACCGTGTGGATTCTCTCCTCCTGACGAGAAACCCACCATCCTGCCACATCTGGGCTTCACCGACGCCTGGAGACCAACACACAGACATTAACGTGATCCTAGCTAGTGTTGAACAGCAGGTTTGTCCTGTGAGCAGCTGATCACAAATCGTTTCTATTTTAATGAACTATTGTGTCTATATTTTGTTCTTACAACCCATAAAGTCGACTGTTTGTGTTCCTACTGAGCTGGATCAATACTTCTACTGGAGTCTTTTCTTTTCACGGCACTTTCTACTTCAGTTACATCACCGAAAGATATAATCTACTTTTTACTTCACAGCATTTATTCTTAAAAAAGAAAGACAAATGTCAGTGTAGTATATTAAGAAAAAAACCTATTGCTGTCCTCTTCACTAAATCTTTCATCCTGAAGCAAATCTCATGAGAATCAACTCACCGTCACGGTTTTGGCATCCATTTCTGTGAATATGAACTCCCCTCCTTCAAAATCTCCATTTAGATATAACAGTGCACTGAAAAAAACGAATGAAGAACAGATCATCAGTGCAGAGTTACAAATTATTTCACTGTGAAAACTATAGTTGAGCCACAGTTATCTCATTTATTTTTTTCTTTTCAGTTTATTTCTGTGGATTCAAACAACCTGAAATGTCAAAAATTAACTGAAAAAAATCAGAAACTTCATTTTCTTCAAATGAAGTCGCAGCAACGCAAACTGTTCCCTCGATGAAGGAATTAAATCCAGTTTAAGTTAATCTAACTGGACTCAGTGGAAATAATATCTGTTGTTAATTTGCAGAAACTTAGCTCAACTGCATGTTACAGATATGAGTAAAAATGAGTAAATCAGCTTTATTCCAGGAGGCGTCCCACCTGTAGTCTCTGTACGTATAAGCTGGAGGCTCCTTCCAGCACTCGTTGGCGTCCGGGTCCAGCAGACAGTTGTCGGCGTGGATGGGATGGCTCAGGTCATTCCTGTGGTCCTGCTGGCCTGAGAACAAGCAACAAGCGTTTAGAGTCCAAAGACGCATCTATACAGCCTGTTACATACATCTGGAAACATCCATCCATCATCTCTACACCTTAATCCTCACTAGGGTCATGGGGGGCTGGAGTCTGTCCCAGCTGACTCAGGGTGAAGGCAGGTTCACCTGGACAGGTAACCAGTCTATCACAGGGCTACACTTAGAGACAGACAACCAAGCACACTCACATTCACACCTACGGACAATTTAGAATCACCAATTAACCTCAACATGTTTCTGGACTGTGGGAGGAAGCCGGAGAACCCGGAGAGAACCCACGCTGCACGGGGAGAACATGGAGACTCCACGCAGAAAGATCCTGGTACCCCTTCCGGGATGCGAACCGGCGACCTTTTTGCGGTGAGGCAACGGTGCTACCACCCTGCAGCCCCATCTGGAAACACTGCTGCAGATTTTCATGTGATTTAAATCTGCGTTCCTTGTTCTACATCCCACCAGGAAAGGATCATCTTTATTAAAGATTTTTCTTTTTTAACTCGCTAACACGCCCATATTTTGCTTTATACATTCTTTAAGACACATCAGGAGCAAAATAAGCAGTCGATGCTGCAGCAGAACGTTTCCACTTTGAACCTGCAGTAATTTTGTTCATTAACTTGAATTACTGTAAGAAATGATGATTACAGGCTCAAGTGTTGATGACTAGTGCATGTACAGACTGCAGGCTGAAGAGCTCCCGAGCACTAATAGTTTGTTAATTTAACATTTTAAATATGTGACAGTTCATCGTTGAGGTACTTCATGCAAAAAAAACTAATGTATTTACTTAAAATATACACATATCCAGGTGAATTGTTATATTATTAAGAATATATTTAACCATCTAACTTTAAACATGCGGTCTTTAAAAGAAAATTTAAATCTGAGTCCCAATAATTTGAATTTGAATCATCGTTAGATTGGAACTGTCTTCCAATAAACTTGAATTTGAATGTTTTACTTTGAAGCTTCAAATTCTCACTGGAAACTCAACTTTCTACAGTTTTCAGGATTCAAACTGACTTCCTGAAATCCAGATTCAGTTGACCGTGCTGCTCATCCTGATCGTTGAGGAAAAGCAATCGAGTGCAGATTCATGGAACTCAGTATTTCAGGCCTTTTTCTCACATATCTACCTATAGCACCAGTTAAAGACGTTTTGTGGCGTCAGCTGAAGCGTGTTTCCGTCTCTACTGACCTGTGATGGCTGTTCGACACACCAGGTGTGTGTAGGAGAAATGCAGAGTGGAGTTCAACATGAAATAAGACTCGATGATCCGTCTGGCCCGTTCGCTGGTCTCGTAGAAGAGCCGAGCGCTTCTCATCGGGACTCTGCCCTCGAACCCGTACTGCAAACAGAAGAGAAATGATAAAACCCGGTCAAACAAGAAGTTGGGTTTATGGTAGTTTACCGTAGTGTTAGTGTTTCACGCACCTGCAGCGTTTTGAGCACAGTGGCTCCTTCAAACTTCTCGTTAGGCGTGTGTGGAGACGTCCGCCCTCTGTAGCCGTCTCCTGCCATAGTGACGGCCTGCGAGGCAAAAACAGGGACAAAAATGAGCTTCGAGTGCAGGTTCACACACTGAAACTCACTCATTTACCAGTAATGTGAATCTGCAGATATGTGGTCAATCCATGAAACTAATCAGTGTCTCCAACTGACTCCCTCAGAATCAGATGATTTGTTTTGTACAATAACTTTAACTTATTTTGACTCTTCTGGCTGTAAAATGCAGAAACAACTTTGGTGTTTTATAGAAGAAGAAAAAATCTCACTGATGAAACCAGTTTTCAGCATTCAGAACTTCTCAAATTCTCCTCTGATAGTGTTTAGTTCTGGTTCTGTCGCTGAACAGCTGTGTTGATGTGTAATCTCAGCATCCAACACAGAAAACAATGCTGCAGGAGTTGTCGTGGTTTTATCCCCTTGCACAGATAGAATCCAAAATTTTACATCTTGCAAGGGCTAAAATGTGCCGATGTGAGAAAAAGATTTTGAACAGAAGGATTCGTGTCTAGAAGATGATCCTGGTATCAAATATAGATGCTTGCTAGAACTTGTTCTGACCAATCCGAGCCTTGAAAGTTTACCCAGAATGCACTTTTTGAACTATGACACATCTCATAATGCTGATGCTCAAAGTTGGTTATAGAAAACTGAACAAAAGCAGATTTGTTCTTCGGATTGTGACACCTGGACGGATGTAAAACTGATCTGGTTGCAGCTTTTAACAGAACTCAGATGTGTTTTTCAGCCCTGAAAGTTTCATGTGTCGAACTGCTGAACTGATGAAGTTATGAAACTCAGAAATGATGGAAATTCAAATAAATTTCAACCCTCCTCTGTGTACTTCAAGGATCTGTAACTCTAAAAACATTCATAGTATGAAGGTAAAACTTTGCACGGCTGAAGTTATTGTGCATAAACAGTCAGCTGATTCTGCTGGAAGCTTTGTCCTGATTTGGTTGGTTTAAACCTGCACCATAACATTCCCTCCTCTCCATGAAGCTCCTTATTCCATTTACACAGCGTAATGTCTGTACATGTGCCAGGTGTCGCAGCTCTTCACACTCGTCTTCCGATATGACTCGATCCAGCAGCACTCGCTGAGTCCCGTTCAAGGCCACCGAGTTCTGCACCAGCTGCACACTGTCATACACCAGCGGGCCACCTGCACACATCACACGATATTTAAGCGAATGCATCTCAGCCGTGCTGGTCAGAAAGAGAAGAACTAGCAGAAGATGTTCACCTTCTTTGAGCTGCTGCGGAGCAACGACGGTGACGTTCTTCTTCTCTGAGATGGGAACGTACTCCATCCAGCCGTCTGTGCCGGAGGGAATCCTAGCAGAGCCGAGGGCATTAGGATTACAAAGATGTATTGTTATTGTACTGCAGGGAAAGACGTCTACATTTTAAAGGCGCTTCCTGAGTAAAACAGGTACAAAGCAGGAAGAATAGCTGCAAAACAACATTCTCAACACAGATCAAAGTTGTACAATTTGTAATTCGAAGCAAAAATAGTCATTTTAAGCCTCAGTAACTTGATTAAACTGCCAGATATTAACACCATATGTTGAACAAATAGTCGCCTATTTCCACACAGAAACATTCTCGTTCATTTGGAGTCGTGTTTGTTTGCACTGTGAGCACAAGTACTGACATTCCTTTCAGCTCTGCTAACTTCTCCAGCTACGATTTAAAAAGGAAAAATATGTGGTTCTTTTGCATCTAAGTGCTCCTCTTTGTTCACTACTTAATGACGTATAATTGGTTTTTAGAAACATTCAGAAATAGCTGCAGCTAAAAACGGCTTTTTGAGAGCAGTGAGTGTGAACAAAACCAAAGCAGTGAGCTGAAATAAGTCCTTAATATTTCCTGATTTGAGGCAGTTTCTCTGTGATTTAGAGTCATTTGATGTCCTGTTGTCAGAAAAAATGCTGATTAAAGCTGCTTTAAATCAGCAAAACATCTGCATATGCAGCTTTTAGCCACTACATGATGTCTTAAGTATTAAGAAGACTAACTGTATGTGAATATATTTGAATATAGAACGCATTGTGTTGCACCGTCCGGTTGTTTGTACCTGTGTGAGTCGTCTCTTCCACCTGTGCTGCTCCAGTAATTCTGCAAGAAAGACAAAGAGATTCTGCAATCAGATCATTTTAGTAAATGTGGTGCCACTGATGAAACAAACACGACAGCACAGGGAGGGATTCTGCAGGTTTATCCAGTGGATTAATAATGTTAATGACACCTCCCTGCATGCAACTGTTCCACCAAAACAATCCAAACATTACTATTCAGAGGGGACACAGGTGCTGCATCCTGGGCTTCGCTCCGCCCAACACGACTGTGATAAAGAAACACAAACAAACCGGAGCGTTTTCCTTTTCTTTATGGCAAACTCAATATGTAATAATGTACTAAACAAAATAAATGTTAAATCTTAAAAATCGAGACAAAACAGGGCAGCAATCAGTAAGATCAAATTCTAAGATAAAATAAATAAAAACTAAAATATTAAGACCATTAGAAGGAACTAAAAGTCACTGTAAACATGTACATCTTGAGATTTTTTCTCAGTAAAATCACTTATTTTTATTGTGTTTTTAATTCAGATTTGTCTTTTAGTTGCTATAGTTATATCTTATGGGGTGCTATTTATAACTGTCCAATTTTAAACTTTAAGCTTTATTTATTGGAATTTAGTTAGAAAGTGTTTAACTGTCATGTGCAATATTTTATTTCTGTGTGTAATATTACTTTAGTTCTTCAGTACTATTGTTAGTATTACTTCTTGTATTTCTACTCTACTCTTACTGCACTTTACCTTTTCATCCTTCGGTATTAATAAAGTTCTTATCTTTTATCTCACACTGCAGAGGGACGTTCTTCTATATGTAGAAAATAACATTGCACAGATTGTTTTATAATATATACAATAATGCATTTTTAACACATTTTTATACAAAGTGCTTTAAAAAATCATGTGTTTCTTATTTCATTTTATTTTTATAATGTATATATTTATATTTTTTGTTATTGCCGCTGCACATACCTTTTTATTTATTTTATTTTTCTATTTTTTCCCCCTATGTATAAAGCTGACTTGGGAACTGTAACATACCTGTACAAATGGCAATAATATTCTATTCTACAAAAAACCCTATTTGGAGCAGATGGAAGTTAAATAAGATGAAATAAAAACAGAATTGATCTCAGTGATATGCTCCAGATTCTTCTGCAGGTTATTCCAGATTACAGGTAGACATCAGGTGAGCTGCTGGGAAAAACAATCATCCTGAACCTGCAGCCTCTGGTTCTGCAGACACTAGTCCTGCTCCTGCATTCATTCAGCTGTTGTCCCAGCAGGTGGAGGTGTTGAGCTGAGCGCCGGGCTGCATGGCGGCGGCGCTGCCAGACACCTGTTCCTCTGCTCTGACTCAGCCCAAGCAGCAGATCTGCTCCACATCACGCACATGTGGATCGACTTACCGACAAGTGCCCGTTAAATCACAGCCTCTCCTCTCATTTCTGGGCCCCGGCGGAGAATTAAAGGGCGTCGGTTTGTCAATGAGCGCTCATGGTTTCGCTCTGAAGACTCACCCCTTCGGTGAAATCCACGCCCATGACCCTGCTGCCGATCAGGAGCAGCTCCAGCTCTTGTCGGTGCCTCCTCAAGTACCAGGCAGCCTCCTGCAAACACACAACCACAGTTTACTGTAAAAGATGTCGTGTTTAGGCACAAAACAGACAGAAACAAGAGAAAATAAGTTGCATATTTCACAGCAGCATTAAGAAACAGTCCATGTTATTGTTCCAGCTATGAGAACTCTCCTTTAAATCTGTCTTTATCGAGCTTTTTATAAAACGCTGCCACAGTTTTATTACAGATAAAAAATACGACTAGTTTAACATCGATTAGAGCTCATCAAGTGCTCCTCTCTTTTCGCTGCTCAAACAAAGGAAACCAGAGCGAGTTTCTCTTGGCTCTGCTCGCCTCAGCGCCGGGACTAATGGAGTGTGATGGCCTCTCTGGTTTTCTGTCTTTTACTACCGTTCCCTCCTCCAGAGTGAAGTCTGCTGTTGTTTCTCAGGCGTATAAATACTGCAGGGTGGCAGGACAAAGCCAGGAAGTGTTGCTATATTTATATTTTAAAGCTGATTTCTTCATAATTATGATTAATTCACTGGTTTGCAAACACACCCGGGACAGATCCTGTAATTTGACTGATTGAAGAATGGACTCATCAGTGCTGCGGTGGACAAACCGTTCAGTAAAAACAAAGTAATCGAGGTGATTAATGCAAATCTTGAGCGGCCGGTAGCACTTGTACTTGTTGTGGTTTACAGAATTAAAGTCTCTTTTTCCTCCTGTGGGCACTCTGACACGACTTCTTCTCCTCCAGAGTTCCTGAAAGGCAGGATTCTTTGGCGGGGCAGCGGGCCGGTCCTGGCGCCGACATCTAGGGGTCCGTAAATGAGCTCCCCGAGGCCGAGGAGGCCGAGAGGGGAGGCGATCTGCGGGCCAGAGGCTCTGCTGTAAACTGGAGGGACTGGACGGGCTTCAGAAACAGAAAGACTACGAGTAGAAAACAAGCTTTATCAGTCTGCCTCCTAATTAGCAGCAGGCTTTCTAGGAAAACAGCTGGAGGCTTAATCAAGGCTCTGCTGGACTTTTCAAAGCAGCTGATAAGAGTTTAAGGAAGATAAATTCCCCGCACGAGAGGCCAAACAGAATTTAATTTTCTCTCAGCCTTTAATTAGACGATGATAATAACACTAATGAGCCCAGAGGATGAAATATGTTGTCGTAAACACGCCGACGTAGCAAGATGTGATTAATGCTTCCAGCTGGAGGGGAAAAGTGAAAAGCAAACTTTAGGAGGCGACTCCTGCCAAGTGGCGAGTCGCAAGTTGGTCCAAGAAACACAGCGAGCAGCCTGCTGCCTCTTGTCTCCTCCTTTTCCTTCAAATCCACACTTCTCCCCTCCAGCCTGCCCACCTCGCTGCACGGCTTCTACACCTCCGTCTCCTTCTCTACACTCCTTGTTGTATAAGTGAGGTTTTTTTTTTTCAGTTTCCAACAACCCTCTCATCTGTAGTGTGCTGATCCATCAGAAGCTTCATTAGATCTCAGCTTAACGTCCTGACACTTCACCAGAAGCTCTTTATTCTACATGCCTCATTGAAAAATTTGGCAAAAATAAACCGTTTGCTCAAATCACATTCTGTAAAAAACGATAACTTCTGCCCTCCTTGGCACAAACATTAAGCCATTAATGACTCAACTGTGACCCACAGTCATGACACAAAAATAAATTACTTTTTGGCTGAGCTGCAGAGCAGATAGTGTAGAGACAAACTATGATGTAGATATTAAAATATCTACAGCATGTAGAGCTCCTACTCTTTCCTCCAGTACAGTCAACAGCTGTGGACTCTTGTACAAGTTGATTGCATTTATTTTCCCACTTTGTTAGGCAGGTGATCAGAGAAACTTTTGTTTGTTTTTTTGGCATTATATCTGTATCATACTTCTGAGTTCCCTTTATTTCTGATTACAGTCGTTCTGGTTCCATAAATCTGCACGACTTTATATTTCAGTGACAAATGAGTCAACAGCAAAGAAAAATGTGACAGGAGCAAAGAAAACTGCCTGGACTTCACAGTGTTAATTGTCCATTGCTTGTGCATCACTTTGCTGCCAGAAGATCTGCTCACATTATATATTAATACTATATTATATTAATTATATTAATACACATTATACTGGCTGCTAATTAGCTTTAGAGTGAATTTGAATGTTGTTTTTTAATCACTGACATCAAGACAAAGCTCCACAGTCTATTTTTTAAAACAGGATTTTCCGTAATGTTTGTGGTCGTTTGAACAAGTTAACACCAATTAAACTTAAATCTATGAGGAGAAAAAGTTGTTGTAGTTCCTCAAATCTTCAGCAGCTTTTGACACTGTGTCTGGTTCTGCTGATCACTTTCAGTTTCTCCATTTTTATACAGGGATTGTTTTTTATTTGTGCTAAATTAAGCTGCTGTTGCCAGGTTGTGTTTCCATGCATGTGTTCTTCCTGTTAAACACTTGATTTAAATGGAACAAAACAGTGCAAAGAAAAGAGGAGTTACTGCTCCTTTACTAAACATATCCTCCTAAAGATATCCCACATTGTCTGCTTGAACACACATGGTTTACTGGGCTTTTATTGAAACCACTTGATATTTTGCACGAGTCTTTAAGAGTCTTTAAGAAAGACAGTAACAATAGCCACACACTAGCCAGCCTAGAATCTATTTACAAAGACCGGGTTATGTACAAGGCCAATGCTATTGTGGCTGACGAGAGGCAGCCACTTGCCTCCTCCTTTAAACTGTTGCCATCTGCCAGGCATTATTGCCCTCCTCTGTACACTGTCTTTCATTCCACAAGCCATCAAATTTTTAAATATGGACAGGAAATGAGATCCAGCTGGTCTGGCCATAATGTGCAAAATGTGGAGACATTATTTTAAAGTGTTTGGGTTTGTGGGCCACCTAAGTGTGAAATGCCATCGAGTGTTTTCTGCTGCAAACCAGTTTCCCCACAGGGACAAACAAACGTCCATCCATCCATCCATCCATCCATCCATCCATCCATCCATCCATCCATCCATCCATCCATCCACCCACCCATCCACCCATCTATGTATCTATGTATCTATGTATCTATGTATCTATGTATCTATCTATCTATCTATCTATCTATCTATCTATCTATCTATCTATCTATCTATCTAAGCAGCAGATCCTGACCTTTCTCGACTCTCCGTCGCGTCCCAGAACCTCTCTGTAGAAGTCCACGTTGTCCGTCATGAACTCTTCTCCGTCGTGGAACAGCAGGTAGGTGAGAGCGCACTGCAGAGCCTCCTCCAGCCGGTCCACTGCAGACACAACGGAACAGAGGCTTTACATCTACATCATCTACATCTACATCTACATCATCATCATCATCATCATCATCATCATCATCAGGTTTTCCCTACGGCCTGCTCTCGGCCCTCTGGCGTGACTGCAGACTAAAGCGTGCGTCCAGCAGCCGGTTAAAGTCCGAGCCATCCAGCTTTGTCCTCCTTGCCTGTGCGCGGTCTACACCCAGTAACTTTTCAACATTTGCCCAAGTCCTGTTAGGTGTTCGCTTGTCCAACAATACCTGCTTTTGCAAGGCATCCATGCAACACACATGGGCCATATATTTCAAGTATCGTGCGTGGCAAAAATCCCTTATGAACCTTGAAAATTAACATGTACACATTATTAAAAAGCAGTTTGCATCAAAGAGTGTTAAAAAAAGAAACCCTGAGAAGGAACCTGCACATATTTTGTGGTTTGCAGAAGTTGCTGGTTTGTAATATTGCACATAAACACGTTAACGAGTTTCTCTTTGCTTCTTTTTTTTTTTACATGTGAACAAGCAGTTAGTCCGGCTGCAGGGTCAAGCTCCTCTGGAAGTGAAACGTCTCCATCGCAGCTGACACTCCTGAACTGTTCCTATAACCGAGCTGCACTCTGGTCGACACGGCGGAAACATTCAAACGCACAAACGAAGCAGGAAGTTAGAGCAGAACCGTCCAGTTCTATTCTGTAACTCTCAGCCCTCCGTCTTTACTGGACTGTAAAAGTCCAGGGTTAACCGAAGACTTCCTGCCTCGGCTGCTGCGTGTTCGCGGGTCGATCAGCGTCTGGAGAGTCGAGTTCAGACAGAAAAACCTCACTGGAGATTTATTTAGGAAACCGAAGCCGCTAAAGCACAATGAACGGCTGCTGACTGATGGCGATGGTCAGTTGCGGCGGCGCGGTGTGGACTCACACAGGCGGGAAACTACCGGTTTGTGGGCGAATAAATACTGACTGCATCAGATTTCCAGTTTTTAACAATATTGATGCTGATATTTATGATACAGCAATGGCAGGACCTCGAGTTTTGTCCAAAAAAATGTACTGAATCAAACAAAAAACCCCCACTGTGAATGTGTTTAGGCTCATTCAGCCTAAAAACACACGTTGATCTGCTGCCTTTAACGTGTGATTAGCTGCATTTTGGTTGGTTAAAAGTTGTTTTATGAGCTGTGAGAGCGTTAAATTAACTTAATTTGAGGGAAAAAAAGTATGATATTAATTTTAATCTAGTCACATAGTCAGTGGTTGAAGACAGACTTGGTTTCTTTTCATATTTTCCAAAGTTTCAAGAGTTTCTTTTTCATTTAATTTTGAGATTCTTCAGTCTCAGGAGCCGTTGTTGACCAAAGACAAACTGTGAGGCTTCTCCTGTTACAGTAAACATAAACTACAACTCCACTGTTTTAATTATTATTAAAAAGACAACAGGCAGAACTTAATTTAACAAAAATACACAGCGAGTTTCTGTCGTGTTTATGTTCTCAAACTACAAAATAACAAGAGTCTCTAACAATGCATGCTGGGAAATCTGCTTATATGCTTCTTATAAACTTAATTTAATGAGCTGCTGTTCAATCATTCAACTCAAGAACTTATATTTTAAATTCTAAAGTGGTCTGGCAAGTTCAATTAATCATAAAAAACAGCAAAATTTATATATTTGAGTTCATTTGGCTTAATTTCTTTATAACATTTTACAGCGTAGAAGCAAAATATCAGTTTATTATGATGTAAATCTCACTTTAAATTGAAACCCCAGAGCTGGCTCAGCCGTCTTTTTAAGCTGTAACAGACTCTGTGACCCATTTAACATCCTCCCGACAGTATTAATGTCACAACGAGCCTCTCAGGTGAAAAGTCTTTTCACGCAGACTGAAGTCACGCCCGTCGGGGAACAAAAACCAGCTCAGACTCACTGATCCACTTTCTTCTTGTCTTCGGTTATTAAATCTAATCTGGGGATCTCGCAGACGCTCAGCAGACGGTGTTTCCCAACCACGCTCTGCTGCAGCTCTCTTGACTAGAGCAGCTTCTCTCTCGTGGATTTGAAATTTCTGGAAAATCCTGGATGAAGCCATTAATAGTTGTGAAACTGCTCGCAGGGCGCGGCTCGCTGCTGGTTTAGTCAGCCTGTCTGCAGGCCTTTGTGGTCATCCTGAGCTCCTGTAGATGCACGTTTGGGTGAATGACCTGCGGGTGGATCCTTTGTGTTTACAAATCAGACACTGACAGAGAACTTAGGCCGAGTTTGATCAGAAAAGGTTTGACTCTAAGGAAATCAACTCACGCTTGAAGTAGGCGAACTGCAGGTAGTCGTAGTGCAGCGGCAGGTAGTTCTCCATCGGCGAGAGGCGACCCGGTCGAGTCGCCAGGTCTCGGACGCACTCGTGTTCACAGTGCAGCACCTGAGTGAAGTGGTCTGCAACAGAGGAACCTCACGTCAGTCTTCAGATGAACAACATACAGCATCTATTTGGTGCACGTTTAATTCCATCTGATGATTTTTCAGTTGTGGAACGAACGTTGCGCAGAAGTGACTTACAATCGATTGCACATAAAGCCTCACGATTAAATGTGTATTTAAAGAAGGTTTTCCATGATGCAAAGACATAATTTTGTCAAGATAAGGTAAAATACAGATAGAAATAATACACTACATGTGATATGTATGCAGTGTATCAAGTGTCAGAAGACGACTCTACAACAAATGTTAGTATTTCAACAAAAATGACTTGTAGTGGCTAAATGTCTGTTCTTAAAGTCCATAAGCAAATAACCACTCGGTCAGACGGAAAGAACGAGTCTAGTCGTGTTTTAGTTGAACGACGGTAGAAAACGGTGTGTTCGCCCCGTCTTTAATGAAGAACTCCACATAGAAAAACACACAGCATCACCCCCAATCGATGCGCGCGCTCCCGCACGTCACCGCTCAGCGTCAGCTCCCAACGGCTGCCCACTCCAGAAATTCCAAGCCCCAAAACCAAATGCAGGTACCAAACACATCTAAAAATAATAACTAAACATGAACATAAATCATAGAATAGAGAATGGCACCAACATGACTGAATAAATATTTTTTAAAAATAGGTTGTGTTTAATATTCCAAATAAAAAGTGAGTCATGGTCTGTTTTTGCAAATAAATTAAAATAATAATCAAATAACTGAATAGAATGAAACTTACAAAAAAAACCCTGCAAAAACACACAAATAAAATAAAATTAAAAAAAAGGCTTTTCTTGCATATTTTGCAAAGTCACAATTTTAGTTGTAATTAGTCAGCTTAACTAATACTAATTCTATTCTAATACTTTAAATCACTTCGGTTTATCTCCACAAATAATAACAACACAGGGTCTCAGCCTTATTATTGTAATAGATTATTATAGTCATGTAAAGTAATGTCTTATATAATATTTAATAAAACTTGGCTTGAATAGACTAGAATTTGTCTCTAAAAGGTCTTAGTGCAGTTTTAAAACTGTTCATTTTATGCTCCTTTGTATAATAAATCAAGTTTTTTATTTACAATTTGTAGCCTCAAATCACAAATTTGCTTTAAAAAGCTTTTACAACATGTACAGCTTATAACTCTTTTGAAAAACTTCTGGACAAACTGCCCCAGACAGACACCTAATAAAAGACTTGTGACAGAATTCTCTTCATTCCAGCTGATTTAATGCTGAGCGGTTCCCACTGAATGCACAGCAGCCTCCGTCTCCTCTATAAAGTCTTTACATCACAGTTACTGCTGGCTCCCTGAGCGGCCATGTGGTGCTCATTTGGTGCACATGCAGAGTTTCGTGTCGTGTTCACAGACGTTAACTCTGCTGAGATCATGAGTGTGACATCAGCTGGCTGGATCTGAACACGTTTACACAACAACCAGAGACGGTGATGAATAAAAACGCTCCAGATCTCAGGATTCACGATGAGACTCGGTTTACTGTCGTGACTGAAAATAACTTCTACAGATGGTGAAGGTGGAACTCGGCAGTGATAAACTGGTATATGTGGGAATAAAACCCTGGAATGAGTTTGTCCTGATGAGTCCAACATCATGTGATCTGCCCTCCTCTGAAACAGATCCCGGAAATGTTGCTGCCTGTGTTGCCTCAGGTGACGGTTCTTGGTTCGTGCATTGAGGGTTTCACATCGTATCATTTCCGTGTGTGGATCCGATAGCATGAGGTCAGTCCTGAGCAGCTGCAGCTCCACTTTCTGATCCAGAAGAGCCTCAGAGGGCCTGAATCATGAAGCTGCCCTGTACAGGGACGGGGTTTCCATGGAACTCTACCACTTATTCCAACTTTCTAACAAATCCATATCGCAGCACACATAAACATTGTGATCACAGTCTCTGCTGCTGCTGCTGCTGCTGCTGTGGCGGCGCGATGGAAAATAATCCGCTGATTATAAGAAAAACAAAGCCCGGCCAAAGCTAATTAGCCGTCTCTGGGTGTTTACGCGAGCAGGTCGGACGTTTCTGAGGCAAAGCTCGCTTGTCAGCGATTAAGCTGCGGCTACTGCACCAAATCCGCCTCGACTTGTGTCAACAAAAGCTGCATGTTTGAGCAGCACAACCGAGGAGTCGTGATCTGGGCCGAGAAGATTCGAGCACATAAACCACGTCTGGTTCTGCACGCGGGGACGGGATTCAGGCTCAGGGGGAAGTTTTGGCGCCACAGCAGAGTGTAAACAACGTGAACAGGATCAGCCGGACACACGATGGGAGATTAGCGCCGGTTGTTTATGGAGATCATTAAAACTGTGTGCTGGTCTCCTCTAAAGCCGGTTTGAAGAGGTGCAGCTGCTTCTGTCTTCTAGTGACCTCTGCTGCTGGATCTGCAGGTTTTGTCTCACTGAGAACTTTGACGTCCTGCTTGGCTACAACAAAAATAAAAGTGTTCAACAGATTCTCAGGAGGTATCTGACGGGGGAACAAAGTGAGGAGGTTTAATCTGAAGTTTACCAAAAGGTGTGTGTTAGCGGACGTTGCCCAAAATCATTCATCCCGCTATAACGTTTAAAGGCAAAAACATAAAAAGAAGGTGCAAAAAAAACAAGTACGTGTTTGCAGCTGGCTTGAGGAATACCATCAGCCAGTTATATTATATGTACATAGATTATTGTGTTGACAGATAGGCAAAAGAAAGCAAAAAGAAAAGAGAGAGAATAAGATACTTGGGATGCTTGGATTTACTGTTTTCTTGTGTTTTGTAATTCTAAATTAATTAGCTTTATTCACATAATTAACAATACTGCATAGTTGAAGTCTCGTGTTTAAACTATTTAGGTTTATCTTTATGATTAATATCACTGGTCAGGTTGAATAGTGTTTTATATACATTTTGTAGGGTTTTAATCCTTCATATGGACATAAAATCACGTCATAAATATCACTGTAGTGTCCTAACCTCAATATTTATACATGTTAAGTTCATTTGTAATGGAAATCTTTGCTTTTTTTAAAACTGGAAAGTACTTTAGTGATTTTTTAAATAAAAATGCTCATAAATAGCGATGGGTTGACTTCTCTGTCGTCATGTCCAGGAAGGTTTTATAAAAAGAAGAATGTTCTGGAGCTCAAAGCATGCACTGTTCTGATCTGTAATAGAAAGCAGGATTTTGCAGTGACTTCAGGTTAAACTGAGTTTTCGCTGCTCTGATGGTGTTTCTCTTCTTTTTTTTTTTAAAGACATTTTTTGGCCTTCTTTTGGCTTTATTAGATGGGACAGAGAGAGAAACAGGAAAATGGAGGAGAAGAATGGGAAGAAACTTGCAGCAAAGGGTCATGAGCGGGACCTGAACCCATGACCACTGCATCAGGGACTGTAGCCCCTGTTCACAGGACGCCAGCTCAACCAGGTGAGCTATAGCGGCGCGGTGCTTCTCTTCTTATCGAGGTGCATCGCCATGAAAACTGATGCTGAACTCCTCCTGCTACCTGCTCCTGAGCAGGTTATGGTCGAAACAACGGATCAGATTTCTTGGAAAACAGCGTCGCCGTTCCTGGAAGATCCTGCAGAATCTTCTTCTAGAGCTGCGACCGATTTCAGATCTATTCTTATAGTTCTTTATGCCTCTGCAGAGCAATTTAATCCTAAAGCAGAAACTGATTCAAACACGGAAGCCTAATTTTAACCCTTTAAGATCTGAGCTTAGTTTGAATAGTTAGTTAAAAGAAAAAGGCAAAAACTTTCACATACAAGTAAGAATTCAGCTGAATGTGAGATGAATGAATTCTTCCTCCACATTAGCATGAACTTAGCTGTAGTTTTATCATTTATTCTTTAAATAATTCTGCTTTTTTTTTGTAATACAATTTCTTTTGAACGTTCTGCAGGTTTAATTCAGCGTCTGCAGATTCACTCACGGGAAAAAAGAGTGAGTCTGAAGGAATACAAAAGGCTTTATACAGTCAATTACACACATTATTTGTTATCTTCAGCTTGTAGCCAAAACAGCGTCCTTGAAAACTCGACAACTTCCCCCCGCAGGCGGAATAAATCTGTGTGAAAAGATTCCTCACAACATCTGAGCTTCTCCCACGACCAACAGTCCAGGTTACATGAGAATTACCTGCATTTAATTAGACATTTAAGTCCCAATAAGCAGCATAAAGGAGCTGAAGTGTTGCTTTTAGCCCGTATTGTATTTTAAATCTCCTCATAGTTCTGCAAATGTTTTTGATATTGTTCATCTGTTCATTTACTTTGTTAGATCAGGTTCAGTAAAGATGTCCTGGGGGTGTGTTGAATTCGCTCCAGAGTTGTGTGTTTAGGTGCACGAAGGACGCTGTAAAACGTCCAAACGTCTGTCAGAAAAACAAGCTCGAAAGAAAAACACTAAGACAACAAGACGCTGAGAAAATGACATCATCAATTAAACGGCTTGTAGCAACAAAAACAAAAGAAAACCTCTGGTGTCTTAGATACGGTAGCCGCTGAAAACCACAAGCTGAATCAATCAAACGACTCCGTTTGTACAAGCGGGTGAAACTCCAATTCGTCGTAAATGAGCTGCGACGAGCAAAAATATCGGCATGTTCCTTTAAGAAGAGACGCCAAGAAGAGACACAGCAGAGAAACAAGGTCAAGTGAGGTTGAGTTGTTGCAAGGACAGAAAAGAAGAAGAAGAGGAAGAGGAGGAAGAGGCAGTGGGCGGTCCAGTCGTGAGTCAGTGGGATTCACTCTGGCTGCCTCGCTGGCTCTGATTCAGCCTGTTTTCCTGGACGGTAATAGAGCACGTCTACCAAATCCCACAGCTAACTGCTCAGATCAGCTAATAGTTTTGAGCAGCACTCACTGGAGCTGATCCGTTCCTGCTCTTCCTGCTCGTTCATATTTTCCCAGCTGAATCTAAATATGATCTGATCCTGAGCGTCTGCTGAAGCGCACAGCTCAGTCTAAAAGCTCCCAAAATCGATATGTTGTTACGCTTATGGTGCTAAAAGGTCGAGCTGCCAGCGTTGGCATGTGTCCTACACTCCTCTAACACATGGTAATGTATCATAAGTAGGCTTTAATGGGGTAATGTGGCCTCGTTTAATAAATGGAATATTATTGGACCCAACGACTAAACAGGATTATAAAGGATCAGATAAGATTTCTCTGCAAAAACTCTAAAACTCAGAGTTAATTTGGTGATTCATGACCCTGTTGATGCGGTAAACCACGCAACAATTAGAAAGTCATGGAGGTTTGTGGGAATTTTTTACACCTGAGATTTCCACAGAAACGCTTCGCTCACATCTGCGCCTGTAAATTTGCCCCGAAGCCTTTCTGCAGTTTTGGCTTTTACCTGCACCTTGTTGTCACCTGGAAGAAATCCAAGCCAGGCAGAAATCTCTGTGTTTCAGCTTGTGGATTGCCAGGAAAAAGCTCGGTGCCAAATAAAAATAAATACCGCTGAAATTGTTTAAAGGGATTTTTGGGCGAGAGGAGGGGAAAAACATGCAGCAGATCTGCAGCCAAAGACAAACAGTAGATGTTGCAATTACAGTTTATGGTATGAATCTTAACCATGAGGCCACCACGATGCCCCAAGCTAATAAACAAGATAGGGCACCAACAAATACTATAAAATTACAGAAAATAATCAAAAACTGTGATTATTTACAATTAAAACACTCACATCTTAAAGTTTGAGTTACGAAATGTGCCGTGCCATTTTATGAGACGATGCTTTTAAAGGTTCCATATGTTGGAAACCCATTTTTATGGTGTTTTGTGGTTGTTAAACTTGTAAATTAAAAGCAGCAAAGAGATGAATGTTCGCTTAAAGCCTCAGAATTTGATCCAAATGTTACCATCCAGCTCTGTATAGCTCCGCCCCCTCACTGCTTCCAGGTGGACCAATCAGAACGAGCAGCTGCAGGTTTATTTATTTACTCTCTACGGCTGCTTCTGCTCAACTCTAAAATATTTCAGCCACTAACTAAATGTTGTGCTGTCGGCTGCAAGAGTGAACACAAGAGTCTTCATGCACTCCCAGCATCTGAGGAGCTGAACATCCAGCAGATTTCTTTTATTGTTTTTAGTGTTAGTGAAGCTAATGTGGCTAACGTTAGCTTACATCATACGCCCACAGGTCAGAGCTCTGTGGAAACTTTACTTCCTGTGTTTTCATGAGACCTGTTGTGCTTCAGCTGCTGTGTCAATATTGCATTTAAATACAGCTGAATTCACACTAAAGCTGTTCTGACTTACATGTTTTTCTTTTTCTGTTGTCAGACAGCAGAACGAGCATGAAACAGTGACTGAAACACAGCACATCAAGCCGTAACGTGAAGTTAAAGTCCCATTCAGACACATTTCCAAGCCGCCGCTCTGCAGCTAAAACACTGATTTTATAACATCGTCTGACACATGAGCTAAAAGCAACGACTGCTTTAAATCCAAACATATTTTCTTACAATATTATTTCCAGAAAGAAAGTTAGACGTCTCACGCACTCGTTCACATCTGCCGTGTGGTGTTTTGTTGCTCGTTGTTAATCCTAGACACACAGAGAGTTTTCTTCCTGAGGGCCGGCACTGCATTTAAAGCTAAAGACACTAAAGCAGCCTGTTTAGAACAAAGACTGAACCCAGGAGTTATACAATCATGATGAAACGAGCTATTCTTGAGGCATTTTGAGGTGAAAAATTGAAAGACACTTTGAACACATCCCATAATACAGGACCTTTAAATGTGTTTTCATGGGCGACAGTAGTGAGTTCAGCTCTAGAGGAACCTACGCTGACTAAATACGGAGTCATTTTCTTTCACTGTACCTCCTTCCCTAAAAACAGAGCTGTTATTCCTCATTTGCCCTTTGACAAAGCGCCAGCTTCCACCCGGTGCCAAGCTGCTGCCGGGCAGATTTGATCACCTAGCGAGCGTGAAGCCTGTTGTTTGGCCTCGTCTAAGCCTCCGCCGGCTAATTCAGCACAACCCAAACCGGCCCGGGCCCAGAGCCACACAGTGTAAGTGTTAGTGGAGGAGTCACAACAAGCTGATAAACGGCTCTGCACAGAAACTAAACAGGGTCATTTAAAAAAAATCTTAAACCTTAAATGAACTCTTGAGACTCATCAGACTGGAACCAAGGCTGGTATTTATTTTTTTTACATCTACAACCAATGCAAATAAAGTGACGCAACGTGCAGGCGTTTGGGAGCGAAACGTGAATTTATAAAAAGCAATAAAACATCACAGAAGACTGCTGCAGTAAAACCAAAGCAGCTCTGAAAACCAATATTGGCAGCGATTGCATCAACCGTGATTCGACATCATGGTGCAGCAGTAAACAACTTAAACCTCAAACTAAACACGAAGGTCTTTAGTCTAATTAGAAACACAAGGGGAGTTTGTCAGAAACCATCGTCCTGTTCGTGACTGTGCTGGAATTTTAACACAAAGAAAGAAGACTGAGCCTTGTTTTTTTTACCTGCTTTAAAACATCTGTACCATTGTTCTGGAGGCAGGCTTGTTTTCTGACCCAAGAGATCTCACCTGATACGAGTTCGTGGAGGCTGTAACGGTAGCGGAGGTGATCGTGGCCCTCGAACCTCTGCGGCCCCTGACAAAGGGCCCGACAGTCCACGTCCGCCCTGTAATATTCCACCAGCGCTTCCTCGAACAGAGCGAGGGCCTCTTCGTAATCGCCTTTATCGTAGAGCCTCACCGCCGCCGTGAAGGAGCGCTTTGACAAGAAGGAGACACAGGTGATAATGAGAGAGAGGAATCATAGGATTTATGACTTTTAGCACAGAACAAAGTTATCGTGACGTTTCTGTAAATAAACCCGTAGCCAGTTCATAAAAGTTTTAACAAGTCCTCTGGTGAACGTCAAGTTTTGCAAACAGGAGGCAGGAAGGCCGCCCCTGAACAGTAGCCAGCAGGGATTATCGCCGTAAATTATTCATCAGTAAATCTAAAAAATTCGTCTACTGCGCCCGGAGAAAATTAGCTTTAGGCTGAATGTTGCACACAAGCTGCTTTCAATAATGAAACACAACGCAAGATTGAAAGTGTGCACCCAATCAGCAACAGAGCCGAATCAGCAAAGTTGCAGAGATGCACAATAAATATTATTTAAGGTACATTTGCACCGTTGGAGTCTGCAGTGTTTTCTAATAGGTGGAGGATAGAAATCAAACTTATCTGAGGGCTTGAGAAGAGAAAATCCAGAAAAAATAATACTGTAGAGAGACACTGGAGCAGCAGACAAATGACCCAAAACTCACCACAACGAGCTCTAAAAGGCCTAAATGAGTTTCCAGTCATTAAACTGCAAGGACCATTTACACAAAAGGCCCTTCATAAAGCGACAACAGCTGTACTTTTAGCTTTTGGGAAGAAGTGAAGCAGAAAAAGCGAAGGCCAGACGTACAAGATAGGTAAAAAGCCAGATGTCACACAAATGCAACTAAATGAAATCGCCGGCATAGTTCACATCCACGGATCAGGATATTATACCTGGTGAGGCCGAGCTTCTCGATCCACAAAGTGCTCTTCCTGGACGCCCTGCAGGTCTTTGTACTGCTCCAGGTCCTGACCCATCTCCACGTGTTCTGGATTGGCCTGGAAGTAGGTGTGAGCCGCCGCCGCCGCCTTGTCGGGCTGATTTAACTGGAAAAGAAATTAAAATAATAGCATCAGACTTTACTTCTGCGGCTGAACTCTCGGCGCATCTGTTCCAAATCCGTGGATTAAAGGCACAAGTTCACCCGTGTGGCTGAGAAAGTTAGTTTAAATCAGACGTAGCAGGTAAAATTAGCGAGACCGCACGAAGAAAATGTTTGCTAAGTGTTTGCCGAAGCGATTCCAGCCAATTAAACTCTTGTGTATCTTATCTAGATTAGAAAAATTCCAACAGAAACAGACGGACACGTCTCTATTATTGAAAACTGCCAAAAAAAAGGACAAAGGTTACGTGATACTCTGAAAAACAACAGACAATCTGCAGACGTTCTTCTGAAGCAGCAGGAAGAAACAGACCCCTTTTCTTGAGAGTTCATTCTTGGCAATTACTTTGGAATCCACTTGAAATGAGCAATATATCAGCATTTGTTTCAGAAGAACTGAGCAGATTTAGAGGGATGCACTGTTCCCGTCCACATCCTGTCATTGAAGCGGCCTGTCATGATTACAGCTAATATAACAGATGAGGTCTTTGCACTCAGAGCATATGAACTTATTGGAAATAACATAAAGAAGTAATAACCGCAGAAATTCCATCCACTTCCTAAGAAACATATCTGATATGAACCCGCGAACACTGAGACGGTTTACTGGTGAAAGTCGTATAAAGTGTATCAGTGAAGTCAAACGTGTTTATAAAGCACATTAAAAATAACCAGAGTGGAACCAAAGTGCTGCACAATCATAAATAAATAGCAAGAGATCGTAAAACACAGTGACTGAAATGCAAATCTAAATAAAATCAATAAAATAATGAAAAATGGAAGATGCAACACAACACGACATCATGCCCGGGTCTGAAGACTGAAGTCTGAACTTTTCTTAGCTGGAAACGCATAATTTTAAGGACATTTTAGATCAGTTCATCAAATCTGAAGGAGCTACAAGTTTGTTTTTTTCACAAAAGATCTATTGTATGATGCTAAATGTGCGAAAAGTGCCACCAGGGTCACTCAAAAGGTTTGGTCACCCAGGGTTTGGTTATTTTTTCATCTTTTAAGCAGTCCAGCAATTAATCTTGTTTTGTTATTTTTCTTTGTATATCATCTGCAAAACTGTGAAAACAATTGTGTTTCCTAAATCTCGAAACCAATGGCAGGACATTGAATGAAAACAGAACTGGGCCCAAAATGGAACCTTGAGGAACCCCAAAAGTAATAGAACAAAAACTAAAGAATAATCATCAAAGTGAACCAAAGAAGCTGCTGCCTGTCAGATAAGACTATGATCCACAGTGTCAAAGACAGCAGCCAGGTCTAGCAGCACCAGAACAGCAGAATTTCCTGATGAACACATCATCAGAACCTCCTGGTTCAGTACTGCTGCAAGGTTTAAAACCAGACTAGAACCTTTTAAAAATGCCACGGTTATCTAGAAAAGTCTAAAGTTGAATATAAACAACTTTCTCCATAACTTTGGACAGAAAAAGTGACTTAGTTCATAAAGTAAGGGAACAATACAGTCAGTAGATATTATTCATCAATTAACTTCATGCAACCTGCAGGAAACAGAATGAGATCTGCATTTAGTTTGATCGTCTTTTTGCTTTTCTAACAACACCGGTCGGTTGTTTTAAGCATGTAGAAGAATTTGACGTGGTTCTCCTCAGTGTTCACTCTATCTCAGTTGCTTTACCTACATGTAACCCCAGATTTCCTCCATGATGTGGACATTAAGGCTGAAGGTAATTCTTTATGACTCTGGCTGTATGTTTTGGCTCATTGTCCTGCTGCAGAGTGAATTTGGGACCAATCACAGGAAACCCTGAAGCTATTTCATGACAGAAAGAATGCAAACATTTAAAAAAAATTACAACTTTTGCACAGCACTCGAGGATTTTCTTGTCTGAACTGTACTGTGGCATCAGGTATTTAAACACTGATGCAGCACATGTAGTAATTAGAAAAAAAAAAGTGAATGCTTGGCAAGAGCGTGGATATCTCCTTCATCACGACCTCCTTAATCTCAATGTACATCAACATACTTTCCTTTAACATGAAGCTAAATGCTCAGCTCAGGAAAGAAGATGTTACGTGCAAGTTCTTGTAGCTTTCATCTCTTTAAAAAACCTCCTTTTGGAAGACCTCGACCATCAGAACACGCCTGGTCCCAATCAGATCAGATTGTAATCAGGCTCAAGCCTCAACATGGACACGTTTCTCCCAGCTATGGTGTCCAGAGAACAATAGGACCTTGAACAACAGCCTGCACTGACTCCAGTTCGCTGTAAACCTCCAGAAACTCGTGAAATGAATCATAAAAGAAGTAGCTGGAGACGTAAACCCGCTGCACTGTGACCTTTGTTGCATGTTAGTCTGCTTTTCCCACTTTGTCCACTCACCTTCTAACCAATAAAGCAAAGAAACTAATCATGAATTGCTTGTAAAAAGTGAAAGGATGTGGTGTTTGACAGCGACTGAACTGCGTAATAAGTAAAGAGACACGAGGAGTTATGCAGAAAGCAGCGAGGGATGATTGAAAGGGAACAAAAGACAGATACAGCGAGGTGAAAGTGGACAAGGTTGGAGACAGAGTCCTGCTGTTTCTGTTGAATATCTCTCACCGTCACATAAACTCAGCTGCAGCATCGCGGAGACATCTGATGCCATTAGTTTAAAACGCTTCACGTAACCAACAGGTGCAAACTTAAAGCAGATCCCAGTGTTTCACAACTTCTCTCCTGACAGTTGAGAAGGTCGGTCGTTCTGTCCGGCTGCCAGAAGCACAACTGGCTTCCCGACGTGCTCCGTTTGGCCACTCGGCGCTGATTCAGGTTTCCCAGTCAAGACATTTGTTACAACAAAAACCTTTGTACTGTACTTCTGTGCTGTTTTTTTTTTTTTATGGGATGAGTCGAGAGATAAAGTTTGGAAATTCCCACATCTATTCAAGATTTGGGGAATCCTTTAGTTGACCTTCCCCGCAGACAGCAGAGAGTATAGATACGAAAACAAAGCGCTTTGTGTTTTGTACGGGGGAGGCAACCGTGTCCCAAAAACTCTGCACAATGCATCACAAAACATACAGAACGGCTCTGATGGAAGAAGCAGAAATTCTTCCTCCCACAAATAACCCACTTCTTTTTGAAGAATGACTCCCCTGTCAGACAACATTGGGTCTCTTTCATGTTGTATCACAGGCGGCAGCAGAGAAAAGCCCAGCTGGACATGCTTGGTTAGCCCTGAAAGGCCAAAGACTGAGGTGGAGCTGAGTGCATTCCTGGACAGATCACCTGGCTGGAGCCGCCGGGAGAAACCAACAGACCAACCACCAGGGGAGGAAGGGAGTTATTACAAGACCAAGGGCGAGAGGGGCATTTAGGTTCTTTTGGGGTCCTGTGAAATGTTTTACCAAGTACTGCATGTAAGAACTAATGAATAACTCCACGAACTAGAAGATATATTAAAAAAAAGTGGAGTTTACTTGTCAAGTAAAATGTACCAAATGGTTGATAAGACTTTTAAAATATCCCTTCTACACGGATGCCTTCCATCCAATAAAGGGCTACTTGTTGAGCCTGACAAATACTAGGGATGTCCCAATCAAGTTTTTTGCCCCGATCCAATCTGAGTCATTAAATATTCAGTATTTGTTTGTCCTGAGTCTACTATTCTTCCAGACAAGACAAACTTCCAGTCCATCAAAGTTTATAAAAACATCCAACATACTAGTACATGCTCCAAGTTGTTCCTGCTTGTCAGGAACTTTGTTGTTAAAGCTCCGGTACCACACTGTCTGAAAAGCAGTGTTAAAGGGTAGGAAGTACTGAGGCGCCACAAGCTCCAAAAGATGGAGAAAAACTGTATTCTCTACATGCGTGTTAGAAAATGAATCACAGATCAGCTGTAGTACCTGGTTGTTCCATCAGGTGGCGCCTCTTACTGTTTCATACTGTATCTACCTCGATCTACCTGTTGGCAAGCACAGCGCATTGTGGGGGTTCAGACAGCAACGGGCACCATGACATAGACTTCTATGACGTTTAATGTCCTCCAGTCCAAGTCAATAAATTATACTCAATGCATAGCTGAAATGTACTTTTTCTGCGTGGCAAAGGATTGGGCTTAATTTGATGCCAATATCAATCACTGAAAAAACACAGCAATTGGCTTTAAACTAAAACTGTGACACTGGTTTGGCTCAATACATCATTTGGCTGATATTATTAGCTGATACTGGCCTTACAAATATATTGACATTGGCAAATATGTTGAAAACTTATATTAACAGCACATAATGAAAAAATTCTTGGACGGTTGGAACAGTGTCAACATCAGCAGAGGGAATCCAACATGATTCACGATCATGTGTCTGCAGCACATGTAGCAGAGCATTTGTGGAGTCAAATGGTGTCTATACAGTGATTTGCTGTCTAGTTTGTGAAATACATTGCTGGAAAGTTAAGAGGTGATCGTTTTCAGCGTTCAATATAACTCAAACACACTGGATGTATACAAATATCAGTATCGATCGAAAATTATTACTCCCCAAAAAAAATCCAGTATCCGTCAGGCTCTAGTCAACGCGACAGATGTGGAAAAAAACATGTCTCGAAGGCAAAATCCCTCCTGGTACACATCAAATTGAGTGTTTAGTTGCAGGCCATCCTTAATCAATCATGTGCTCTACGTTGTCTCATTCACAGACATCATCCCTCTCTCCAGCGCAATTACTATTCATAGATTAATATTCATCTTTCTGAAACACCAACAGAGATGTTCTGATCAAGTCTGGATGTCTTGAATTTGGCAACCAAGCAGCAGCTTACATCGACCCTTAGATGCATGACTGGAAGTAAATGAAACAAGCTAAAACCACTTTGCTGCCAGTTGTCATAACAATTCTTCGTAACAGAAATTACTCACCAATGCAAGAACTAGGCTTTGCACTGACAGAAACACGAGGAAATCAAAACCTTTACTGGGACA